TGGGGGTGCTGAGCCGCAGAGTCCAGAGTCTGGGGGTTCTGAGTCTAGAGGTCCTGAGCCTGAGGGTCCTACACCTGGCGGAGCCCTCTCCTCGGAGCAGCTGCGTGAGTGGTACTTCCAGTACTGCAGCCTCAAGAGTGGTACCTCTGGAGCCAGGCGTACTACTGCTTCTCCTCCTAGCCAGGAGCTCCCCTCCCGTGAGCGGATCCGTGAGTGGTACGAGCGGCGCTGCACTCTTCGGACTGACGCGACTGGTGTCGCGGACCCCGCTGCTACTGGTGGTGCTACTGGTGCTGGAGACTCTACTGGTTCTGCTGGTGCTGCGGCCCCAGAGGTTGGAGCTGTTTCTCGTGCTGCGGACCCGGGCGTTGGAGCTACGGCTGGTGCTGCGGACCCGGGCGCTTGTGCTGCTGCCGGTGCTGAGGACCCGGGCGTTGGAGCTGCTGCTGGTACTGAGGACCCGGGCGTTGGAGCTGCTGCTGGTGCTGAGGACCCTGGAGCTGGTGCTGCTGCTGGTGCTGTGGAGTCGGGCGTTGGAGCTGCTGCTGGTGCGGAGGACCCTGGCGCTGGTGTCTCTGCTGGTTCTGGAGTCGCTGCACGGCAGCGGCCGTACTTCATTCCGCTCCTTCAGCAGGTTCTTGGTCTCCCGCCTTCTCTCGGTCCTCCTCCTCCCTCAGAGTGTCCACAGCCTGTCCAGTCACGGTTACAGTTACAGCCCGCCTCCCCACTGCCTGCTCCTTCTCCCTACACTGGTCCTACTGGAGGTCTTGCTGAGCGTCCTGAGCCTGCGTCTCGCCCTTCGTCGCCTGTCCGTACTGCTCGCACTAGTGGTTGCGGTTCGCGTCACCGTCCTCCTCCTGTCCCTGGCACGCACCGGATGTCTCTGCGTCCGTCCACTGCTCCTATGCGTGCCCCTTTGCCTTCTCCTCCTGAGTCCTCTCTTCCTGCTCTTGCCGACCCGGAGTCGGACTCTCTTGGTGCTGCCAGTCCTACTGTCACGCGTCTCCTGGCTACTGTTGTCACTGACCCTTCTTTTAAGTCCACTGCTGCGTCTGCCCTAGTTGCTGAGCTCTTCAACTTTGTTGCTCGCTATCGCCTAGACTACGCTGCTAATCTTGTCGCTGAGTCTGAGTCTGTCTGTCCTCCGTCCGTCGGGGGTGAGTGTGCCCTTGGCACGGACGTCCTTGAGGACAGGCAGGAGGAGTTCCAGTGTCTGGCAGCTGCTTCACCTCATCTCGTGTCCGTACTGCTTACCCCTGAGGGAGACCCGGATGCACTTGACATCCCGACTCCGCGCTCCTACGCGGAGGCGATAGAGGGTCCCTACTCCTCTCAGTGGCAGGCAGCTATGGACACAGAGATGGCTTCATGGAAGTCCACAGGCACCTACATTGACGAGGTTCCCCCGCCTGGGGCGAACATCGTCAGTGGCATGTGGATCTTCAGAGTGAAGCGGCCACCGGGTTCTCCGCCTATCTTCAAGGCACGTTACGTGGCTCGTGGCTTCAGTTAGCGGCAGGGAGTTGACTACTTTCAGACCTTCTCTCCCACCCCGAAGATGACCACTCTTCGGGTACTACTGCACGCAGCTGCTCACCCTGACTACGAGCTACACTCTTTTGACTTGAGCACTGCCTTCCTGTAGGGCAGCCTCCACAAGGAGATCTGGCTGCGCCGCCCACTCGGCTTTGCCGCCCACTTCGCTTCACTGGGACTTTTCCTCCTGGCACCCAGTGGAGCCTCCGGCGGCCAGTCTACGGTCTCCCCCAGGCACCACGTGAGTGGCACGACACACTGAGGACTACGCTTGCGGCTCTTGGGTTTGCTCCCTCTAATGCCGACCCGTCGCTGTTTCTACGCACTAACACTTCTCTGCCGCCGTTCTACATCCTCGTGTACGTCGACGACTTGGTCTTTGCCACAGCTGACACTGGTGGACTCGCCTACATGAAGTCCGAGCTGCAGAAGAGACACACGTGCACAGACCTGGGTGAACTGCGCAGCTCCCTTGGCTTGCAGATCACCCGGGACAGAGCACGCCGCACCATCACCCTGACTTAGTCACACATGGTGCAGCAGGTCCTTCAGCGCTTCAGCTTCACGTACTCCTCGCCTCAGGCCACTCCTCTGCCTACTCGCCACTCGCTCTCAGCTCTGCCTTCGGATGAGTTCGTAGAGTCGAGTGGCCTGTACCCAGAGCTTGTTGGCTGCCTCATGTACCTGATGACCTGCACACGACCTGACCTAGCATACCCTCTTAGCATTCTCGCACGCTATGTTGCTCCAGGGAGAGACCGACCAGAGCACATGGCTGCAGCGAAGAGGGTGTTGCGCTACTTGTGCAGTACGTCGGGCATGGGGCTAGTGCTTGGAGGGCGGAGTCCAGTCGTCCTCACTGGTCACGTAGACGCTTCTTGGGCAGACGACTAGGCTACGCAGTGGTCGTCACAGGGTTACACCTTCAGCCTTGGTTCTGGCTCTGTTTCGTGGCGGGCTACTCGCTCGTCTTCTGTTCTTGGCTCCAGTTGTGAGGCTGAGATCTACGCAGGGGCCATGGCTGCACAGGAGCTTCGCTGGCTCACCTACCTGCTGACCGACCTTGGAGAGCCGCCTCGTTCTCCTCCAGTGCTGTACGTAGACAACAGGGCCATGCTGGCCTTGTGTCAAGAGCAGAGACTGGAGCACAGAACAAAGCACATTGCTCTCCGATACATTCTTGCTCGTGAGCTACAGCAGCGTGGTCAGTTGCGGCTTGCGTACGTGGCCTCTGAGGCCAACACTGCTGATGTCTTCACCAAGGCACTTGCGCCTAGTGATCATCAGCGCTTCTGCACCCAGCTGGGTCTTGTACCTGTCTTGCCTCACTTGCTCACCTCTTGACCTTGCTTGTACTGTTACATATATATATATATATACCTGCTCTTGCTTGTCTAGCCTTATATATATATGTACTCTTGCATGTGAACTGGCCTTGTGGCCTTGAACTTGTGCTCGTAATGTGTGGTGACTTTGTGATCCACCCTGAGCTTCCTTTGCTTTGCTTTACTTGACTGGTCTTGTGACCCCTAGTTCTCCCCCACTTCGTTTATAGGGGTGTGTCAAACATTATATATGTTGTGCTTGTTTAGGCTACAGTGGGTTAGCCTATAGGGGGTACACAATTCTAGGGTTAGGTACTTGTACTGATTTCACTGATAGTTCAATCATTCCTGTTCGTTCATTTCAATAGATTGGTCTATGGTTTCATTACGAAGGTGCGCGAACATTTCTGCAAGTGGTAATGAACTCGCCAGCACTCAAAGTTAACCGCGGGGGCACTTGGAGGAAACATGAGGGTTACCTCAGGAGGGTGGCCTTGGGTTTATCCCTCGACTTCGAAGCGAATTTTGTGTTGTGATTTTTGGGATGTGGGAGACTGTCACGACAAAGATGATGAGAAGATCCAGACCCCGAGGAGAAGGTGAAGCGGAAATGGTGCGAGAAGCAAGAAGTGGAGGACAGGCGCAGATATGAAGCCAAAATCTGAAACATGTGACGGACATTTTGCCACGATGCGATTTTATAACTGCGAGATTTGCAGGTGACGAGAATTGGACGAAAGCGTGCCTTCAGCGAAGTACGCGAAGAGAAATTCAAGTTGCATGGAACTTGTGCGTTAGGCGAAATAGCAATCCTCGTTGGCAGGTCGGAGGTGCTGAAGGGCGTGGATGCATGTGGTTCGTGTAACCACCTTCGCAGAGCTTGGTTCTCGAACCACCTCTGGAAGGAGGAAACAATTCCGAGTAGGTGCCTAGAATTTTGTAGCTTCTCGGAAATTTTATACAGTACCAACTCTTTACTGTACCAACTCTCATCGTATACAGAACGAACTTGCTTCCATAAGCCGGGTCTAGCCATATCCAAGCACGAAGAGTGATATACTCGGCCATGTTTTTATACAAGCTGCGGTCGTCTTGTTTTTAGACGGAGCTATCTGTAACGAGTATTAGTTCGGTCTGATGCAATTTCGCTAGCTCCTTCGCTAGACCAACGAAGCTGCGGAGGAAACTAACACTCCCGTCAAGTGCGACCTTGATCGGCTTGCCAGCGTGGCATAGGCTCCCCAATCGCAACAAGCACCCGAGCCTTCAAACCACAGGGCGTTCGACGTCTGTCAAGCTTCAGATCCGCGTCGTAGCTCCATGATTGGTCGGGTGGCTGGTTCTGTGGTCACGATGAGACCTACCTTACTTTTGGCGGGCAGAAACGCATTTCATGCCGCACGGAAGGGCATCAACCACTGCTATGTGGCAATACCTCCCTACTCTCAAGGGTGCGTAGTTTATTTGCACGCGTACTGTTTCAGCGAGGGCCGTTGCAGCAAGACTTTTAGCGACACCCCACTCTGCCGGGCAGGTTGAAACAAATAAACGATGAAAGATCCAGGTTTCGCGGAGAGATCGAGGGGAATGGGATGGAAGGGACCTCCGGCGCGACACGGTCCAAGACGGGTTTCCGCATTTTGCGATCGCGATTGCCAGCAGCTTACTCATGCACTGCTTCATAAGCTCCCCCAGTCGACCTTGTTTGTTGAACGATTCTTGAGTTTCCTTCGCATCCCTTTTCAGCATCGTCTTGCTCGTTTGCTCCACTACTCGTAGTACTACCACCGCCAAGCGAACGATAGAGCCGCGCAGCGCGCAGAGCAGAGCAGAGCAGCGCAGCGAAGCACAGCAGATCAACTCACACCAGAGAAGAGTAGAGCAGCGTTAATGCCGTCGGTCCTTCAGTCGTGCGCACGCCGTCTCGTAGTTCTGCCAAACTCACCCACGGCGCTTCTTCTCTCCTCTCCGTTCTCTCGCCAACTTTCCTCTTTTCCTGGCAGCAACCACTCTATTACTCAATACACTGCATCCGCGATAGAAGCGCGCAGCCTTCCGAAACACGGTTCGGTAGCAGCACATCTGAAACAAGCCTCCAGTCTGACCGTCAACCGCTCTCTATCAGCCACAGCCAGAATCATGCCGCCCGCCGCGACTGCCGCCGCGGCCTCCGCCGGAGCAAGCGCTCCGCCTTCCGCGGCGGCTGTTCCGTTCCGCCAGCATGTGACGGCGGACGGCTCCAGCGGCTTCCCCGCGGAAAGCGGAAGGTACGGCAGAAGGCGTTGCTAGTAGGTGTGAAGGCGTTGCTTCCCGTCTCACCACCATTCCCCTGTTCCCTCTTCTTTCCCCACTACCCCCCCCCTCTCCCCCGTTCTTCCCCTTTCTCCCCCCCTCTCCCCCTCTCCCCCCTTCTCCCCCTTTTTCCCCCGTCTCCCCCTCTCTCCCCTTCAACCCCCTTCTCCCCGCTTCTCCCCCAATCTCACCCTCTCCCCCGCTCTCCTCCCTCCGTCCCTCTTCTCGCCGTGAGCTACGGCTTCTCCTCATCCCCTTTCCCCTTTCTTCCCCAACCGCCCCCAGGTACCACCTGTACGTCAGCTACGCCTGCCCCTGGGCATGTCTGGTTGGCTTCTTATACTTAATCCCTCCCCTCTCCCCCCACCTCCCCCCACTCCCCAACCGCCCCCAGGTACCACCTGTACGTGAGCTACGCCTGCCCCTGGGCGTCGCGGTGCCTCATGGCGCTCAAGCTCAAAGGGCTCGACGACGCCATCTCCGTGACTGTACGTGAGGGTGACTATAGTGTGACTGTGGTGGTGTGACTGTGGTGGTGTGACTGTAATCTTGTGTGATTGTACAGCACTGACTCAGAAGTGCCTCATGGCGCTCAAACTCAAGGGGCTTGATTCATGTCACTGTACACCCTCTTTCTTGCCATTGTGGATTCGAGAAACAGGGTGTACGTGGGGTGAGTGCATGCATGTTGTGATTGGGCGTGGGGTTGAATACCTCCCCCCCCCCCCCCCCCCCCTTTTGTGTGTGTGTGTGTGTGTGTGTGTGTGTGTGTGTGTGTGTGTGTGTGTGTGTGTGTGTGTGTGTGTGTGTGTGTGTGTGTGTGTGTGTGTGTGTGTGTGTGTGTGTGTGTGTGTGTGTGTGTGTGTTTCTTTTCTTTCTTTCTTTCTTTTGGTGATGAGGTGAGAGAGATGAGGTGAAACTGAACTTGGTGAACTGAAACGAAGAAAGGCACCTAAAGAAATGACTTATGCACAATAATGGAAAAGAATCGTGCTTCAGTTTTATTATACAGAGTACAACTTCCCCACCATGTCGTCCGTTTTTCCCCACTCCATCGCTGCTGACGTGGCAGGTGCTGAACCCAACGTGGGTGCGCACGCGCGAGGGGGAGGAGCATTTCGGATGGGCGTTTCCTTCCTCAGAGGGCGACGCGGAGGAGCCGGGGGCGCAACCTGATCCGATTTTCGGCGCTCGCTTTGTCCGCGACATATACGAGAAAATAGATCCTTCATACAAGACCTTTTCTGTGCCGGTATGTACAGTACAAGATACATCGTATGTACAGTGTGTACACTTTGCCCGCGATATCTACAAGAAATTGGATCCTTTGTATAAAACGTTCTTGGTGCCGGTATGCACAGCAGATGAACACACACAAGTAGACTCGCGCCAAAATGAACAACGAAAGTGCAGAGATCATGCGAAAGCTCAACATGGAATTGAACGCTACGGCTGTCAATCCCCACGTGGACCTCTACAGACCTCCACTGAGCTCTATTACCTTCCCTGGATTATTTTGCGGCGCCTTAAAAATCTTCTGCAAACCTCGACTGAGTAAGTGTAGTTTTAAGACGTCTCAGAACTACACTTATGTCACGTGGCTCTGTTACCCTCCCTGGCTGTTTTCGAGGCGCCTCAAAAATCCGCTACAGACCTCCGCTGAGCTCTGTTACCCTGCCTGGCTTCTCAGAAGTCCCTCCCTGTTCTTTCCCTTCTTTTCACTCCTCCCTCCAGATTCTGCTTGACAAGCAATCACGAACCATAGTGAACAACGTGAGTGCAGAGATAATGCAGATGCTCAACTCCGAATTCAATACAGTGGCTGCCAACCCCCACGTGGACCTCTATCAACCTCCACCCACCTCCACCCTTCCCCATCTTCCTTTCCCCTCTTCTGTGCCAATCCCCCCTCCCTCTCTTCCGCGCCGTATCTCAGATTCTGTTTGACAAGAAAGCAGGCACCATAGTGAACAACGAGAGTGCAGAGATAATGAGAATGCTCAACTCGGAGTTTAACGCCGTCGCTGCTAATCCCCACGTGGACCTCTATCCTGCCGCCATGCGGGGGGCCATCGATGGGGTGAACGAGTGGGTTGGGCCGGCAATCAACAGCGGCGTGTTCAAATGCGGCTTCGCCAAGGAGCAAGCAGCTTATGACGCTGTAAGTAGGGGTGTGGTGTGTTATTGAAACGGTTAGGAGGTTTGTAACGTCACCACCTCTCCGACCATCAACAGCGGCGTGTTCAAATGCGGGTTCGCCAAGGAGCAAGCAGCTTATGATGCGGTGAGAATGGGTGCACTTTTGAGTCGACTCAAAAGCCAACAAGCGGCTTATGATGCGGTGAGAATGGGTGCACTGAGCTAGTGAGAGGGATCTGTGAGACTCCTCATCCCTCGTCTCACTTCTCTCATCTCTCCTCCCCTTCTCCCCCACTCCAGCCCATAAAAAACACTCTTCTCAGCCCTGGATCGCTGTGAAGAAATATTGTCTCGCCAGCGCTACATTGCAGGAGACGCCTTCACAGAGGCTCACACAAGTGCCTCCCCTCTCCCCGCCTCTCCTTCTCCTCCATTCCAGGCCATAGCAACACTCTTCGCAGCCTTGGATCGCTGTGAGGACGTTCTTTCAAAGCAGCGCTACATGGCAGGAGACGCCTTCACAGAGGCGGACATCCGGCTGTTTGTGGATCTGATTCGATTTGATGAGGTATGCCTTGTAACCCTTACACCTGCTTGATAAGGGCAGCGCTACATGGCAGGAGACGCCTTCACAGAGGCAGACATCCGGCTGTTTGTGGATCTGATTCGATTTGATGAGGTAAGATCTTGGTTTTGATTCCTTCACACCTCACGCTGCTTCCTCCGTTCCATAGGCTGCTTCTTCCATTCCCACTGCTGCTTGTTTTTTTCATACTCATACTCATACTCATACCCATTCCCACTGCTGCTTGTTTTTCTCATACTCAATACTCATTTTCTTACCTGGGTGCGTCTTCCTGGTGTTGCATGTTACCCAATCCCAGGTGTATTACGGCCACTTCAACTGTAATAAGAGGATGATTCAGGAGTACCCCAACCTTTTCAACTACACCAAGGAAATCTTCCAGCTGCCTGGGATCGGCAGCACAGTGAACATGGCCCACATCCGCAAAAAGTTTTTCTGCAGCCCGAATGCCCTGAATCCTTTTGCCATCTGCCCGATTGGCCGGAACATCGATTATTCTGAGCCACATAACCGGGATAAGCTGCCATCTGAGCCGCTCGTGCTGGGTACAACAAAAAGCGGGCTTTAATTGCCTGGATCCTTGTGTTTTGTTTGGTCGTGTGTTTCCAAATAATGCAATGCTTATGTCTGCGTCTGTACTATACTGTGTTGGAAACAAGTAATTTAGGCGCCTCTGTCGTGTCAAAACGCTAAGTCGTAAACGAAGCAAAACACAGCGAAGCATCGCCGAGTCAACCCTCGGAGGTTGAGCAACTGCTGGAGGTTACGTGAAAGTCAAAGGTCAGCGACCTTTGACCTGACAAGTACAGCGCGGCAGTAAGGACAAACAACTGACTCGTTATTGAGCAGTTGCCCGAGTCGGCACTGTGTCGAACCGCAACAGCAACAGCAAAACAGTTGTTAGCTATAACCCTTCATATTCCCTTGTACTCTTATAAAAGTCTGTATCTCTTTACTTTAAAGCCCGAGTCTAGAATGGCTAATTTTCATACATTTTCAAATTTACTGAAGCTGAAGCTAGGTTTGCGAAGGGTGGCGAGAGAAAAATTCGCCGAAGAAGGGTGGCGAAGGGTAGGAGTGGGAAGTACAACCCAACTCAGCTTTCGAGTTCAAGAAACAAGGCTGGCGGCAGAAAGGACAAAAATGCCACAATTCGCCAGAAGCCGAGATGCATCGAGGATTCAGGATTGTTGACAAAGCTGTTACAAAATCGTTTTCAGCATATATAAGAACGATCTAGAAACTTGTAAAATGGTTTAGGGTACGGTAAATGAGACATAAAACATTCATATGGGCGATTGGCTGGCAGTTGTGTTATTTACAAAAAAAGTGCCACTATTCTGCAATTGATAAAAAGGGGGACATACACCAAGCAAGTGAGACAGTGTCAAGTTAGTTATTCCCCTAACAATCCCACTCGTGCCCATTATCACTCTTCCGGTTCACCTATGCGGAAGGCGAGTGTCGGTGCTGCACATCCATTTTGTGAGGCGTACCGTAATCTCCCGGATAGTAGACCCTAGGGTCTTATGTAAAATTCATAAAAAAAATAGGGGGGGGTCTTGTCAACGGCACAAGATTGTTTAGTACCCGGGTCTTATTAAATTGATACAATTTTTAAAGGTGTACGTAATCGAATGCCTCATTGATGAGGATGCTTGACATTCTTTTTCCCTGTTGTTTGGGCAGCACATGTGCGACTTCTGCGATGTAGCCACATCACATAGGGGAATCAGTTTGTGGCCTTCTCATTGGCCAAAATCGCACGTTACCAGCATTCCAGCATTGAGGTTCGCGTTGTGGCTCGTCAGCGTGCCATCCCACCTCGACACCCTGACACATGCACGGCTCGAGCGCAAGGGCTGCACGGTGGCCCGTGCAGCAACCCCTACTGTTCAATGGGAGGCATGTCAATCCTTTCACCCCTTGTTGCCCCCTAAATCTCTGAAATGCAAACCGTGAATAGGTTGCATTGGTGTCAAGCTTGTCTTGCTAGTGAAGCACTTGAAAAGACATCTTATTCCCATTATGAACTAGTGATAACCATAAGGAAGGGGGTCTAGTATTGTTTACTCCTCTAGGGGGGGGTATAGTGAAAACCTGCCAAAATAAAAGACCCACCCCCGTAATACAAACCCGGGGGTCTTGTATTCCGAGGGGTCTACTATCCGGGAGCTTACGGTAAGTCGGGTGCAACTTGAGAACGTCCTCCTGCCTGTCCTCAAGGACGTCCGTGCCAAGAGCACACTCACCCCCGACGGACGTAGGACAGACAGACTCAGACTCAGCAACGAGACTAGCGGCGTAGTCTAGATGACAGTGAGCAGCAAAGTCGACAAGCTCAGCGACTAAAGCAGACGCAGCAGCAGACTCAAACGACGGGTCGGCGACAACAGTGGCTAGCAGACGCGTGACAGTAGGGTGCTCAGTACGAAACCGGTCAGACTCAGGGTCAGCAGCGACAGGTAGAGAGGACGCAGGCGGAGACGGCAGGGGAACATGTGGCGGCGGAGAGGAAGGACGACGGACGACAAGGGAAGGGCCGGGGACAGCCGGCTGACGCTGACGAGGAACACGACGACTCGAACGACCGGAAAGGACAGGTGAAACAGGACGCGACGCAGGCTCACGACGCTCAGCAAGGCCCCCTGTCTGCTTAGTCTAAGGAGAAGGAGCAGGCAGGGGTGAGCCAGGCTGTAACGGAAGACCAGTAGACGACGGGAGGCTAAGAACTTGGCGAAGCACGGAGCCAGGCGGGGGCAGAGACGACGGAGACGGCGGAGCAAAGAACAGGCGCGGCTGTGCAGTGCCACTAGCACCAGCAGCTCCAGCACCCTCAGCAACTCCAGCGCCTCTAGCAGCTCCAGCACCCTCAGCAGCTCCAGCACCCTCAGCAGCTCCAGTACCCCCAGTAGCTCCAACTCCTCCATCAGCTCCAGTACCCTCAGCAGGTCCAGCACCTCCAGCAGTCCCAGTACCCTCAGCAGCCCCAGCACCTCCAGCAGCTCCAGAACCCTCAGCACCAGCCCAACCTGGTGCAGCAGCCCCAGAACCGGCACCTCCGGTCCCAGGGTCTCCAACCGCAGTGCCACCAGCAGCAGCACCCTCAGACACGCCACCGTCAGCCCCAGCAGCTCCAGCACTCCCAGTACGAGCACCTCCGGGACCAGCGACACTAACACCTCCAGCAGGCAAACGACCAGCACCACTCCCAGCCCCAATGACGCCAGCAGGAGAACCCCCAGCAGTAGAGCCCTGAGGTGCAGAAGCGCGACGCTGACGGCGACCGTACCAGTCGTGCAGTTGCTGGGAAGTGAGAGGCATATGCGGACGAAGACGACTACTCCAAGGAGACCGCGTAACAGCAGTCTCAGGACCCTCAGGCGACTCACTCCCAGACTCAGCACTCCCAGGCTCCGCACATGGAGGCTCAGCACCCCCACACTCAGCACCCCCAGACGCAGCACCCCCAGACGCAGGACCTCCAGGCTCCTCACGCGTAGGCTCAGCACCCCCAGGCTCCGTACCCTCAGGCCCCTCACGCCCAGTGCCCCCAGACTCAGCACCCCCACGCTGCAAACCCCCAAGCTCCGCACCCCCAGGGACAGTACCACCACCAGCAGGACCGGAGTCACCAGTGACCTCAACAGACGCAGGGACGGGAGGGTCTACCTGAGAAACACCTGAAGGAGCAGGACCTAGCGCGGGGAGGGGGTCTACCTAAGGAGGACCTGGGGCAAGAAAGAGCGGCGGGAGAGGGCGAGGAGCAGTGCGGTAGGGGAAGAGGCGGTAAAACGGGACTAACTCGTCAAAGGTGACGTTCTCGGACGCAAAAACATGGCGCGAGGCGGGGTCGTAAAACTGCCAGCCAGGCGCGTCAGGGACGAAGCCAAAAAAGACGCAAGGAATGGCACGAGGGGAGAGCTTGTCCGCGGTGGTATCGCGAACAAAGGCACGAGCACCCCAGACCCGGAAACGCGACGCTTCGCCAACCTTCCCCATCCACAGCAGTGTGGGTGAGGTCTCCGGCAAGGAGACACGGGGCCAAAGGTTGAGCTGATGCGCGGCGTACCTGACCGCAAACGGCCACAGAAAATGGGTGGCAGCCGCATGGATCATGGAAGTAAGAGCGACCTCCATGACTAAGCCAATGCGGCGTTCAGCAACCCCATTCTGCTGCGGAGACGCCGGAAGCGTGAAAGTTTGGCGGATGCCGTGCTCCGCACAGAAGGCGGTCAAGAGGTCTGAGGAGAACTCACCACCCCTGTCAGAGTGCAGACGCAGGACAGGAAAGTCCGACTGGAACCGCTCGCGGAGCTGGAGACGAGTAGCGCGGATCCAGGGGATCAAAACATCAGGGACATCCCCCTTGCGCTGCAAGGGGAAGACCGTGGTCTAGCGCGTGTAGTCGTCGACAACCAGTAGAAAGTACCGCTCAAGGCCCTGTTCACAGACGTGGGCTGGGCCCCACACGTCCAGGTGGAGAGTCTGCAGTGGAGCCTCTATAGGAGGGAACGAGGAGGAGTGAGGAGCGGCGCGCTGTCGCCCCTCGACGCAAGAAATGCAGGGCGGCACAGGCGAGGGAGGGAGGGCAAGCAGAGACCTGGGAAGACCAGAAACCAGAAAGCGAGAGTGCATGCTACGAAGATGAGGCAGGGAGGGGTGTCCCAGGCGGTGGTGCCACAGGAGGGTGTCGTGAGACAGCCGGCGACACTCACACTGGGTAGCTACCTGAGCAGACGCGTGCAGATGTGGAGACAAAGGGGTGAAGCGAGACTCAGTGGTGAGGGTGTACAGACTGGACCCTAGCGCACGGGTGAACGTGACCAGGTGGCGGCCGGTCTGGGAGCACGTCCAGATTGCCACACGCTGTCGGCCAGGAGTGAAGGTGTCAACACCCTCATCCTGGAGGAGGACAGCGTTGCTCACCAAGTTCGTAGAGAACGAAGGGAGGTGGAGACTAGACAACTCACCAGACGGGACCGCCGCACACGGAAGCACAGTGGAAGACCGTGCAAGCACTGGGCCCCCAGAGGGGTCAGCCAATGAGACAGGAACAGGTGCAGGAAGGGGAGTGACTGTGGTACCGTCGTGAAAGAAACAGCAGGAAGCACCAGAGTGAAGTGTAAAGGTATGCAAGGCCTGTGCAGGCGCAGTACCAAGGGGAGCAGACTCAAAAGCACCTAGTGCAGCAGGGGCAATACCAGGGGCTATACCAGGATTTGGCGGCACACACAAGTAGCAGTCACCCTCAGCACTAACAGACAATGTATACATAGCAGCTAGAATAGCCTCATAGTTAAGATCAAAGATTGGTACATTACGCCTAAGCAAGTCTGCCCAGTTGGGGAACTCAGTAGCATCAGGAAACTTGGCGCGCCAGGCGTCGCTAAGTCGAGCGAAGCAGCGCTGCTCAGTGTGAAACCCTATGCACTGGCGATTAGCACGGGGACCTGTGCGGATGATATAGGGGCAGCGACCAGGACCCCCAGAAGCCCTACGCCCGGCATACCAGTCAAGAAGCTGCTGGGAAGTGGGGGTCTGGCGATGACGCTGCTGCTGCGGCTGCTGCTGGCCCTGACCACCACTGCCACCACCGCTCCCTCCTCCCCCACCGCCGCTGCTGCCCCCTCCACCGCCCCCAGTGCCTCCGCCGCCCCCACCACCACCTCCACCCCCTCCACCCCCACGACCACCCCCACGACCACCCCCACCACCTCCAGCGCCCTCGCCGCCTGCACCACCGCCACCTCCACCGCCGCCCCCACCTGCCCTGCCACCCTTGCCGCCCCTACCGCTGCGACGCTTCCCACTAGGAGCGGAAGCAGCCCCGACCTCCTCAGCAACAAGGTAGTCGTGAGCAGCAGCTGCGGAGGCGTCGGAGGGGGTGAGAGGGGAGGGGGAGCACCCCTCAAAGAGGGGAGAGCGAGGAGTGCCACGAGCAGCACCTACAGCGATGATGTTCTTCTCTGCTGCAAGGAGGTGCTTCTCGAAGTCGTCGACAGTGAGAGTGGAGGGGTCTAGCGCTAGGAAGTGGTCCCTAACCGAACTAAGAGTGTCAGGGAGGCGCGTAACGAGGAAATAGAGAGTGAAGTACATCGGGGGGGGGGGGGGGGGTTTGCGGCGCAGAACTCGGTTGAGAGGGCGCCACGAAAGTGAGTCTCAGTAGCGCGGAGGTGAGAAATGAGGTCCTCAGCAGTGGTGAACGAGGAAAGGTCGGGGAACAGGTAGGGTAGCATGAGTCGACCTATGGTTGCAGTGGCCGGGGAAGAGTAGCGCGCAACTACAACGTCGTACAACTTCTTAGCAGTTTTGTGCTGGCTGAAATGCGTGCGCTCAGTGATCGGCAGATGGTTCCTAATAGCTAGGCGTGCAGCAGCATCGCGAGTCTGCCACTGCGAGCGTTCGAGAGCAGGAGCATCAGCAGCAGGAGCAACGACAGTGCCAGACACGTAATCGAACAGTGAAACGCCCTCTTTGGCATCGGTCAGAAGGAACAGTTGCAGGTCGTCTAGCCACACTTTGAACTCTATGGGGCGATCGCCAGGCTCGAACGCGAGAACATTAGGCGTCGTCATAACAGCAGTAGGCAAAGGCAGCATAAAGCAAGCAGGCAGTAGACACGAGGCAGTAGGCAGTAGACAGCAGGCTAAGACAGAGGCAGTAGGCAATAGACAGTACAAGCAACGTGCAGGGCAGTAGCTTGCTGCACCCAAGCTCCTAAGGTGGGGCTCTAGACAGTGGCAGGCTGTACAGTTCGAAGGCAGTGGGTTCGGCAGCAGTGAGCCTCCCAGGCAAGTACACAAGTAGGGCGCGCACGGCTGCTGGCTGCGTGCGGCTAAGGGCCGCGCGTGGCTCTCTGCTGCGTGTGGCTACGTGCTGCGCGCGGCTCCTGGCTACGTCCTGCGCGCGCGCGCGGGCGGCGGGCTCTGCTTAGGCTGCGCGCGGGCGGCGTAAGGGGCGCGCGGGCTCTACGTGGGCTACGCGGGCGACGCGGACCGGCGCGCGGCTCTGCAGCAGTGGCGCGCGCTAAAAATCAGAGACGCGCGCTCCAGAAACCGAGGCGCGCGCGAGAAAAATAAGTGACGCGCACTGCCGCCGAGGCGCGCGCGAGCAGTAGGCAAGGCAGGCAGGTAGGTGGGCCCGATTTGTAGGTCCTAGAGACCTCCTGCTCTCATTGCCATGTTAAGAACCTAAGGCAAGGATGAGTCAATTAGGTGAAGGCTAGGGTACAAGACTAGGGTATCGAGAAAGTTTGTGTACCCCATAGTGCTAACCCCCATACAGCCTAGATAACCTAAACAAGCATATATATACATATATATATATATATATATATAATTTGATAGACCTGAGTCAGAATATGCGAGCGGATACGGACAGCGAGAAGGAAAGGGCAGAGTGAAGAGGAGTGGGATGGAAAGAGATGGCGGGAGGAGGGGAGGTGGGTGGAGGGAAGGTGGGAGGAGGGAAGGTGTAAGTGATATGTGCCTGCGACATGTGTGGGTGACGGGGAGGGTTGGGGTGTGGGAATAAGGGTGGAGATCAGAGGGACGGGGAAAAACGAGTGATGAGAAGGAGGGGGAGCAGGAGCAGTTAGGAATGGAGGAAAGGAAGGGAGGGGGAAGGTGGGGGCAGGAGGGAAGGACACAGAGAAAGAGAGAGAGGAACAAGGGGGGAAACGGAGGGAAAGACAGGGGGGAGGTGGAGGGAGGGACAAGGTGGGAAACGGAGGGAAGGACACGGGGGATGGCAGGGAAGGGACAGGGGGGGAAATGGAGGGAAGGACACGGGGAAAGGGAGAGGAGAGGAGGGGAGTGAGTTTGCAGAACGGGAGTGAGTGTCACATGTAAGTGTGTAGTGACAGGCCCGATGCAAGGCGGTTGCCCTGTGTGGACGGAAGGTGTTGGGCGACGGGAGGGACGGGAAGGACGGTAGGGACTGGAGGAGGGAGGGGGGGTGAGAGAGGGAAGGGAGGAGAGGGGTGGTGAGGGAGGCAATTGACAGGCATGGTTAACAGGAGTGCTGCTGGTAACAGAAGGAAGTGAGTGGGTGTCTCTGTGACCTGGTGTGCGAGAAGGTGACGTGCAATAGCAAGCAATGGAACTGAGTGAGCAAGGGGAGCGAGTGAGGCGGGAGGGAATAAAGGTCACTTCAGTCCCCCTCCCTACTCTTTTGAGAATGGACAGAGGGAAGGAAGGAGAGAAGGCGAGACGGAAAGGAAAGAGAAGGGATGAGTGGGAAGGGGGAGTAGCGCGTAGGGAAGGGGAGTAGCGCGTAGGGAAGGGGAGCAGCGCGTAGGGAAGGGGAGCAGCGCGTAGGGAAGGGGAGCAGCGCGTAAGGAGGGGGAGTAGCGCGTAGGGAAGGGGAGTAGCGAGTAGGGAAGGGGAGCAGCGCGTAGGGAAGGGGAGCAGCGCCTAGGGAAGGGGAGCAGCGCGTAGGGAGGGGGAGTAGCGCATAGGGAGGGGGAGCAGCGTCTAGGGAAGGGGAGCAGCGAGTAGAGAAGGGGGAATAGCGCGTAGGGAAGGGGGAGAAGCGTCTAGGGAAGGGGAGCAGCGCGTAGGAAAGGGGGAGTAGCTAGGGAAGGCAGAGCAGCGCGTAGGAGGGGGAGCAGCGCGTAGGGAGGGGGAGCAGTGCCTAGGGAAGGGGAGCAGCGCGTAGGGAAGGGGGAGCAGCCCGTAGGGAAGGGGGAGTAGCGCGTAGGGAAGGGGGAGCAGCCCGTAGGGAAGGGGGAGTAGCGCGTAGGGAAGGGGGAGTAGCGCGTAGGGAAGGGGGAGTAGCGCGTAGGGAAGGGGGAGTAGCGCGTAGGGAAGGGGGAGTAGCGCGTAGGGAAGGGGGAGGCCAAGACACACATGAGTGACAAAAATGATAAGTGACGGAATGGAGCGCGACGGGCAGGAGAAGGGAGCGTGTCGAACAGGAGAAGGGAGCGCGACGAGCAGGAGAAGGGAGCGCGACGAACAGGAGAAGGGAGCGCGACGAGCAGGAAAAGGGAGCGCGACGGGCAGGGGAAGCGAGGGAACGGGGCAGGGTGCGCGATGGAAAAGAGACGGGAGTGCGACGGGCAGGGGAAGCGAGCGCGAAGGCAAGGGGAAGGGAGGGCGACGAATAGGCGGCGGAGGCAAGGGCAACAGTACCGCCTCGACGATGGGAACGGCATTGGGAACGAAAGTGACATTGGCCGCGACGATGGGAACGGCATTGGGATCGAAAGTGACATTGGCCGCGACAGGTTGGTTGGGAGTGCCCCAACGCTTTTGAGTCGACTCAAAAGAAGTGCCCCAACCGCCTACGGTCGGAATGGTGGTTGACTCCGCTCACAAGAGCTCATTGTCAAGGCCCCTTGTGTGTTACGGCCGGCGTCTTGAGTAGGAAGGTGACTCGATTGTGTGACTTTGTGAGTGGATGGGAGTGACGGGTCTGGCGGGGGACACAAGACGAACGAGAGAGACGGGACGGACGGGCGGGAGTGAGTGCGCTAGGCGTCAACTACGCTATTTTGTAAGCTACGGAGGCACCTAGTTATCGAGTCTGTTATGGTTAGCTCGACGTTCAAGTTTGGAGATGTATGAACAGTGGCCTGTTGGGCTGGCTTTTGTGGCGAGAGGGTTGATAAATTTGCCTATGTTGATCTCAGCCAATCAGAATCCCTCAACCAAAAACTGTTTCCCGTGGTCGCGAGTGCCTCGCAGTTCAAAAGTGGGTTACCCTGTTTTTTGCGATTTCAGCTTCAAGAATCTTGAACTTGAACCATTGCCATTCTAGACTCGGGTTTTAATCAATCCACTTTGCCCTCACATACCAGCGCAAGGTGGTTCACAGACTTATCATTAAACGCTTCCGCTATTACCGTATGGCCCCGGATAGAAGCGCAGGCCTATGTTAAGCGCATGCGCTTGTATCTGGAGCAATGCGCTTATGGCCGATCCTCAATTATAAGCGCACCCCTTTGGAATTCTTGACTTATTATAAGCGCACTCGTTTAGTTTAAAAAAAAAAGAATTTCATTTTTTTTAACCTACCTAGCCTACATGTTCTAAACTTTCCATTAAGAATGACAATCTCATACAAGGGTGGTCTCTGCTGTCCTGCACTACACCTTTCAACCTGCCTAGTCTACCCTACTGCCTTTTCTTCCTCCTCGTCCGACTCAGGCTCCGTGGAGTTGTTGCCCCAGAACCCATCTGCCTGGATGTCGTCGTCCACCTCCACCTCATGGGACAACTGGCACCTTCGGTGCGCTAGCACCAGTTTGTCTTCGCTCCCATCAAGGGCGTTGCTGATGCCGCAAGTGAGGAAGGCTTTCTTGATGAGGTCGGCGGGCACCGCCTTCCAGGCCCGTGAAATCCACTTGAGCACCACCTCCGGAGGTGGTTTCTTGATGTTCCCTGCATCTCACGTAGTGGGGCGGGGAAAACATGAGACAAGTAAACATGCATTCAAGCTCAAGATTTGCAGACGGGAGCACATGCCGTCACTCACCTGCCGGGGTCAGGATGTTCATGCCGTCCTCCTCAAACCAATTTTGGTACTGCTGACGAATGCTTGCTTTGAAGCTTTTGTTGATCGACACATCGAGGGGCTGCAGGTCTGCCGTGCAACCCGCCGGAATGATAGCAGGCACGATGTTGAGCGCCGCGAATCTCGCCTTGACTTCTGGTGTCAGGTGACCGCGATACGAGTCGAGCACCAGCATGGCGCTACGACTCTGCAGGCCGAATTTCGGCTTCAGGAACGGCACCACGCCCGTGTTGAGCCACTCGATGACGCCTGCGGCCTCCATCCACCCGTTGGCTTGGCAGCCGACCACAACATCTGCACGCAACGAAAAAGAACGGTTAACGACTCAGGTAGTAACGGGAATAAACACGGTGGACGATCACTTACCGTTCGGGAAGTCACCCTTGGGGAGTGTCTTGCGCTTGAAAAACACCCACGGCTTCAGCTTCTCGCCCGTCGCCGTGCACGCAAGCATGACGGTCACTCTCTCCTTCTGGTACCCACCGCTGCGAATGGGCACCGACCTCACGCCCGTCTGCTCCACGGTGGTCGTCGCCGGCATCTCTAACCACAGCGGTGTCTGGTCGGCGTTGATGATGTAGCGGTTGTCAATGTCGTATTCGTGCCGGGCGTCACGTACGTACTGCCAAAAATCATTGCACTGCTCAGCCACGTCTGCAGAACAGGGAGAAAGGTACATACAGTAAACCAAATTAGTATGACGCACAGGAGACATGCGAAAAAAACTAAGCGTAATCGGGTACCCACCAAAATCAGCAGTAAACGACCCACTTACGCTCCTGTGTTTTCTGTGCCACCTTTGTTTTCATGCGCACGCTGAGGTTCCACCGCCTGCGGAACCGCTCCGTCCACCGCTGACTGGCTTTCCACTTGACGTCCGGGTATAGAACCTTCATCACTTCTTTGGACCACTCTTGCAGCCGGCCGACCGAAACCGCAACTCCGCGGCGTCGCCAGTCGAGGAGTTGCGCGTACACCTTTAACTCCATGGGGCGGTACCAAGACGACCTCCCGCGCCCGTGAAGTCGCATCCGTGCTCCGTGTGCAGCCTTGAGCGCATCCGCTTGGGCTTTCCATTCTGTCAGACATTTTCGGTGAATGCCTGACTCCCGCGCCACTTCGCTCACCGAAGCCGCAAGCTCGAGCCGCACGAGCCACCTCAACTTCTCCTGGGCGGTGTAGGACTGCCGCTTATGTTGATTCAGCTTGTGCCTGGGGGAGGGGGGGCGGGCATCTCGATTCTCGGTAGACGGGTGGGGGCGTTTTTTATTAAGGGGCGGATATGTCGGTACCGGCATCTTCGCGCGTGGTGCGTCGCGCCACCAGGACTCCACACCGTCCTCGTCCTCGTCACGGTCGGGGAACACGTCTTCCTCGTCGCCCGCTGCACCGTCGCCACCAGCTTCACCGTCGCCTCCAGCTTCGCCGGCGCCGCTGTCATGTTTGTCGGTAGCCACATCATCGTCGGCGCCCACAGCCGACTCATCCCACGCGCAGGATTCTGGTTGTCCCCACCGTGGTGCAGTCGCTGGAGCTTGGATGCGTGCATCGCGGGCCTTGGGTGTGTCCGCTTCAGCCAACCATTCGTCGAACGTGGCTGGTAAATACAGTTGGAGCACGGGCCGTTGGTGAGCACCTGCCGTGGCAAAAGCAGGCGGATTCGGAGGAGCGGGAGGTGCGGGAGGAGCGGGTGGAGCAGGGGGTGCAGGGGGAGCAGGAGGAGCAGGGGGTGCAGGGGGATCCGGTGGCACTGGAGGCGCTGGTGGCTCACGGGTATACCACCCGTCTTTGGTAAGTCGCCATGTGCGGCGTGGCTTTTTCTTGAAGAGGATGCTCGTCCTACTAAATTCCGCCATGGCTTCGCCTGCCAGGCGGGGTTGACAAGGAACTGAATGAAAAAATCAGAGAAGAGGGTGAAGAAATGGGCAACGACGGTGACCCCTGCTGTGTGACGGCTCGGGTTCCTCGTCGATGACAGGCAGGAAACCCCCGCCCACTCCCGTAGAGGCGCCTGCGTGGCAGCATCTACGCTGCGCTGGCAGGGAATCTTGCCGAACCTTCGAGATGGTTCTGCCCGAATGCACATGCCTCGCAGCGCATGCGGCTCTGATTGGGCCGCACGACAACATCATCGTCACGGCTGTCACATTCTATGTTTCCAGACAACATTGTGCGGTGGTAAACCGAACCGCTGCGGTTTCTGCCTGAAAACCATGCACGATCCCACTTGGTGCATGGTCGGTTGAATTCGCCTTATTGAGAGCTTCACAATGGTGTGTTCAAAATTGATTTTCATTTTTCCCTTTATACAAGCGCATGCGCTTATAAATCTGACTCAATTATAAGCGCACCCCCCCAAAAAACAATGTTTTATTATAAGCGCAGGTGCGCTTCTATCCGGGGTATTACGGTACATTGTTCCTACTCAGAGTTTAGTCCTGCAAAGATCCTAAGGGCTTTTCTCAGCCCAACATACTGTAGTATGCACGAAATGGAGACATTTTAGTGCACAGCTGAAGCACCAATAAACTTCAACACACCACAGGTACCGTAGCTTGCCCTGCCACGTATTGGACCAGCTAGCATTCTGAGTCCACTGTACAAAACCGCCTCATAAGACCGGCTAACATTTCTCATCCAATCAACCCCCCGGATACATCAAGACCTAACCGCGGAGAATAGGTGATACTACCATACGTGCCGCCCGTAGTGTGTCTGATACTGATGATACTTACTGACTGACTGATAGAAGAAGGTACATACAGTACAGACCAACCAACCAGGCCCCCAGGCACCCAGCTTTCTGAACTTATTATTGTACGAATCTCCTATATCAAACGTACCGTACTACTGTAGCAATGCAACTAGGTAGTCCCATTCCATTACTCATCCCATTCTATATCCTCATCATCCTCACCCTCAGCCTCTCCTACCCCCACCGGCTCCGGGGTAACCGCAACACCAGCCCCATCCCCTGTTCCACCCGCACTCCCTGCCCCTCCACTCACCCCTCCCCCACTCCCGTCCCCACCAACCTCCCCCCCACTCCCTCCCACCCCACCATCCACCCCATCCCCATCCTCCCACTCATAATCCGCCTCCTCGTCCTCCTCCTGAATTGCTGCTGCTATAGGCGTAGTGGGCAGTGCTTGACTCGTGTTGAAAGGGAGAGCAGTAGTAGGAGCAGGAGGGGTGGCATATGCTCCTGCGTCCCCCTCTTCCCATGTCACATCCTCCTCCTCATCTCCCTCCCCTGCTGCTGCTGCTGCAGCATTGGCAGGAGCGACATCAGTAGTAGCTGCGGCTGTGGCAGTGTCGGTAGCAGCAGCAGTAGGGGCAGTGGTGTCCACTCCGCCTGCTGCTGCCGCTGCCTGTTGCTGTTGCAGCAATGCGGCATAGTAAGCCTTGTAATATTCCTGGTGATACAGGAAGGGGGAACAGAGGGGAGGAACAGTGTCAATAGCAGCAGCAGTAGGGGCAGCGGTGTCCGCTCCGCCTGCTGCTGCTGCAGCTTGTGCTTGTTGCTGCTGCAGCAATGCGGCATAATATGCCTTGTAGTATTCCTGGTGATATGAGGGTGGGGGAACAGGGGGGAGGAACAGGTTGAAGCTGGGGAAGAGGATCTGAGGGATACACCTGTAGTTGTTGCAGCAATGCTGCATAGTAAGCCTTGTAATATTCCTGGTGATATGAGGGTGGGGGAACAGGGGGGAGGGATACCCTAGTTGCTGCAGTGGCAAAGCTGCATAGTAAGCCTTGCATTGTCCCTACTAGAAAAGGAAGAGGCGCATGTGTATGAAACTGATATGACTTATCTATCTGTATACATTATAAATATATGTATATCTACTAATATATATGCATATACTGTACACAGTAAAAAAAAGTGTTGTGAAAGTTTTCTGTTTGCAGTGTGAGGATATTCAGGAGATTTGGACAGGCGCAAAAGCAATGTACAATCGCCTTCCTGACTTGGAAAAGCAGTCACATATCCAAAAAAACCGAAACAAGAACTTCGATTGGACCCTCCCCCCCCCCCCCCCCCCTTCTTTTCTACTTTGTGTGTCCAAGTAGGTGCTTTGGTTATTTGGTGGTTGTGGTTCGTGTCTGCTTTCCGGTGCGACTTTTGAGAATCCTCAAATGTCTGCTTTCCTAATCAGGGAAGTGATTGTGCCTTTCCTCCGCTTCTGTTCAAACCTCAATGAGTCATATTGGACCGAACACTCCCGGACATCTTCATATTGCAAAGAAAAACTTTCAAAACGTTTTTTCTCGAAAGTCATATGGAGTGTTGAAACAACAAGGAAACAAAAACGACGGGTTTACCAGTCTATTGACCGGGTTGATTAGCTCTGGTATATAGAAGAGTTACAAGTTCTAAATACATGAATCACATGTACACATAGATGAATGATTATATATATATACATATATATATCATATGTATACCAAGCTCACCTGTAGTCTCTGCTGCTCTGCCTCTTCCTCTGCCGACATTCCCCCCGCCGCACCCTCCCCCGCTCCCCCATCCCCTTCCCCCGCTCCCCCCTCCCCGCCCTCCCCTTCGCCCCCTGGTTTCTCCTCCTCCACCTCCCCTCTCTGCGCAGCTGTCAGCACCATACCCTCCCGTATGGCCCACTTCGGAATAACCTTCATTTCTGCCGGTTTTGTCAACGCTCCTTCCCCTCCTCCTCCCCCTCCTCCTCCTCCCCCACCACCAGCAGCACCCACGTCCTCCCCTCCAATCGAAACCTCCACCTGTGTAGGGTTTGGGGAGCGAGGGGTGGGTGGGGCATGGGTAAAAAAAGGTTGTAGATGTGTTGCAAGGCCCATACCCTTGCTGCACAGCTGTCAGCACCATGCCCTCTCGTATGGCCCACTTGGGAATGTCCTTCATTTCTGCCGGTTTGGTCAACGCCCCTTCCCCTCCTCCCCCTCCTCCTCCTGCCGACCCTCCTGTTCCACCAACCACATCCTCCCTTTGAGTCGACTCAAAACAGACCCTCCTGCTCCACCAACCACATCCTCCCCTCCAATCGAAACCTCCACCTGTGTTTGGGGGAGCATGCATGGGGTGGGTGGGGCATGGGGGACGGGGGTAGTAAAGATTCAATGAAATGATCCAGTCAGCACCATGTCCTCTTGCATGGCCCACATGGGAACAAATTTCACCTCTACTGGCTTGGTCAGGTCAGGCGTCCCTTCCCCTCCCACTACTGCTGCCCTCAATGCTGAAAAAGCCTTGGAAGGGCAAAGGATTGAAATTCCACTCAACCAAAGCTTGCAAAACGTACCCGTGTCTCCCCCATGAAGATGAAGAGGAGTGGACCCAGCGCCCCTTCCCCTCCCACTACGGCTGCCCTCAATGCTGACAACGCCTTGGAAGGGTAAAGGGTTGAAATCCCACTCAACCAATCGCACCTGTAACCCTTCCCAGGGGGACAAGAGCCTTGGGAATCCCCTCTGTGTGGGCGGTGCATTGGGCTCGCACTCAGACAAGTGACACCTACCCGTGGTCTCGCCCATGAAGGGAAGAGGAGTCGACCCACCCAGCACCCCCTCCCCCCGGCCCTGCAAGACAGAGAGCCTCGGGAATCTCCCCTCTGTGTGGGCGGTGCATTGAACTCTCACCTCGACAAGGTGACACCTACCCGTGATCTCGCCCATGAAAGGAAGCACCCATGAAGGGCAGGGGGGTCGACCCAGCAGCTCCCCCTCTCCCCAGCCCCGCCAGCCGGGGGAGAGCCTAGGGGATCTCCCCCCCCACTGCGGCTGCCCTCTGTACTGTTGAAAACTAACCAGCTGACCACCACTATCAACTTACCCGTGTCTCCCCCATGAAGGGCAGGGGGGTTGACCCGGCACCCCCACCCCCCGACCCTGCCAGACAGGGGAGAGCCTTGGGAATCTCCCCCCCAACTGCGGCTGCCCTCTGTGCTGGCGATGCCTTGCACGTTTAGAGGCTTCAACTCCCACTCAGAAAGGCACAACCCACCCACCAGTCCTCACCCTGCAATCCACCTACCCGTGTCTCCCCCATGAAGGGAAGAGGAGTCGACCCAGCACCCACTCTCCCCCCTGCGGCCCGCGGCCCCGCCAACCGGGGGAGAGACTTGGAAATTTAGAGGCTTCAACTCCCACTCGACCAAACCTTGTGAAACGTACCCATGTCTCGCCCACGAAGGGCAGGGAGGAGACGGGGGAGAGCCTTGGGGATCTCCCCTCCCCCCCCACTGCGGCTGCCCTCTGTGCTGGCGACGCCTTGCAGGCTTAGAGGCTTGAATTCTTACTCTGTCTTTCCCACCCAGACAAGTGGAAGAAACGTACCCGTGTTTCCCCCATGAAGGGCAGAGGGGTAGACCCTGCACCGCCTCCCCCTGGCCCGGCCAGACGGGGGAGGGCCTTGGGGATGTCCCCCCCCACTGCGGCTGCCCTCTGTGCTGGCGACGCCTTGGCCTCCCATTCGGATAGAGACCCGAAGTAGGGCGGCGTGAGGTCCTTCACCTTCACTATCTGCTCCATCAGGGGTTTCAGTTGGCGCTGGGAGAGGGGAGAAGAGGGAGGGGAAGGGGAGGAGGCAGGGCAAGGGGATGGGAACAGGGGTGGCGACGCCTTGGCCTCCCATTCGGATAGAGGCCCCAAGTAGGGCGGCGTGAGGTCCTTCACCTTCGCTCTTTTTTAGGCGCCCCCCCAAACTCCATCAGGGGCTTCAGTTGGCGCTGGGGGTGGGGAGGAGGGTAGGTGGGTGGGTGGGAGGGCAATGAAAAAATATATATATATATATATATATATATTCGCGCCTGTTCGCATCGAACCGCTTCGAGTTCAATTCAGCATCAGCATCATGCCTAATCTAATTTTGTCAACTCTTTTTTCCTTACGTCCACTTATGAGTCGACTCAAAACTAGTTCAATTTTGAGTCGACTCAAAACGGGTTCAGTTCAGCATCATGCCTAATCTCATTCTGTCAACTCTTTTTCCTTACGTCCACTCATCCCAACGCCCTGTCCACTCACCTCGAACCTCGCCAGCATGTTTTGAAGAGCCTCTTTCTTCTTCTTCCTTGTGTTATCCTCCCCGTCAACCCCTCCCCCTCCGCCTCCCCCTCCTCCCAGCATGTCAGATTCCGCCTCCAGCTCTGAGTGGCAGCGCTCGCACTTGAGGTTGAAGTCAACTGGATCAATCAGCCTATCCGTATCCAGTGTGGAGTATCTGTGGACGGAGAGGCAGGGAACAGACGGACAGGCACACAGGGTCAACCCTCCCAGCATGTCTGACTCCGCCTCCAGCTCTGAGTGGCAGCGCTCGCACTTGAGGTTGAAGTCCACGGGATAAATGAGGTTGGCTGGGATGTGGGTGTACATCCAACCAAACACAAAGTGCAAACTACACTAAGTGCAAACTACACTAAGTGCAAACTACACAAAGTGCAAACTACACAAAGTGCAAACTACACAAAGTGCAAACTACACAAAGTGCAAACTACACTAAGCTAGGTTATAAAAAGTACAAGTAGACGACTTTTGAGACGTCTCAAAAGTACAAGTACAAAATGTGAGATTGAGGGCTGACACTAACACCCCACCCACCTGACCCACAGAAGGTTTGGGTTGGGGGTTGGGGCACAGAAGGTACATAACCTCCTTGCAACTGGCCAGCCCACAGTGGAGCAACAGCAATGGGGAGAGCAACGAAACACACCCCACCTGGCCTTGCAGTGCGGGTTGGGGCACAGCAGGTACATAACCTCCTTGCGACTGTCTAGCTCGTCCTTTATAGCCTTCTTCGCCCGGTGGATGCGGTACCTCACCACGTCATAGATCTGTCAGGTTGAGAGGCAAGTGGCATGTGGGGGAGGTAAGAACAGGGGGGAGGTCAATCTGCCTGGCAGGTACTGATGCGTGCGGTACTGATGCATGCGGTACTGATGCATGCGGTACTGATGCATGCGGTGAATAATCATGTACGTAAGAGCGGTTGTTGCAATACATACCTGGGGGTAGTGCAGGCAGCAGTAGGAGTGGGAGTGCTGCTTCGGCTTCTGCCCCGGCTTCCCTTCCCATTCTGATTACACATTTGCAGTGATGGCTGGAAGAGAGGCTGTCAAGAGGCTAGAAGAGAGGCTGTCAAGAGGCTAGAAGAGAGGCTGTCACAAAGCCCACCTGGGGGTAGTGCAGGCAGCAGTAGGAGTGGGAGTGCTGCTTCGGCTTCTGCCCCGGCTTGCCTTCCCATTTCGACCCCTCGCCTTCCCCCTCCCCTTCCTTCCCCTCCTCCCCCTCCCCCTTCAGTTTCTTGGCTGCTCTCGTGTTCTGCATAGGAAGACAGGGTTGGGGTGGTGTGTTGGGTAAACGTTGAGGGAGAGGAGAAGAGGAAAGATATATCGAAACGGGCGCACACAGCAAGCTGCTACGCTACGCTCCACTCTCTCCTGCCTCTCTATGTCTTGTCTACTCTACTGCTCTGCATAGCACAGCACTTCACTCACCACCACACCACACCACACCACACCGCACCGTAACACATGCGTACTCCTCCGTTAACACACTCCACCACACTCACCTCCTTCCTGTGCTCGTGCACGACCATCAACTCCTCCTCCAGACTCTTCAGCGTCCGCCTCAGCTGCTTCAAGTGGTTACCATTCACTGCACCACACCGCACCACCGTATCACACAGAAACTCCACCACACCCCACCACACCGCACCGCACCACACCCCACCGCACTCACATCCTTCCTGTGCTCGCGCACGATCATCAGCTCCCTCCAGCATCTTCAGTGTTCGCCTCAGCTGCTTCAAGAGGTTACCACCCACTGCACTAAACCGCACCACCATATCACACATTAACTCCACCACACCCCACCACACCACACCGCACCACACCCCACCGCTCTCACCTCCTTCCTGTGCTCGCGCACGATCATCAGCTCCCTCCAGCATCTTCAGTGTTCGCCTCAGCTGCTTCACGTGGTTACCACCCACTGCACTAAACCGCACCACCATATCACACATTAACTCCACCACACCCCACCACACCACACCGCACCACACCCCACCGCTCTCACCTCCTTCCTGTGCTCGCGCACGATCATCAATTCCTCCTCCAGCATCTTCAGTGTTCGCCTCAGCTGCTTCGGGTGCAGATGCAGCTGCCGTGCCAGCTCCTCCTCTCTCATCCACTGCCGCCTGTTTGGTGATCATTGAAAAGACCGGGAACCAGGGGACAAGGAGACATTGCCATAGGAGAAACTCAGCTGCTTCGGGTGCAGATGCAGCTGCTGTGCTAGCTCCTCCTCCCGCATCCACTGCCGCCTGTTGGTGATAAATAAAGAGACAGGGAAGCAGAGCACAAGGATACATTGCCATATGAGCAACTCCGCTGCTTCGGGTGCAGATGCAGCTGCTGTGCTAGCTCCTCCTCCCGCATCCACTGCCGCCTGTTGGTGATAAATAAAGAGACAGGGAAGCAGAGCACAAGGATACATTGCCATATGAGCAACTCCGCTGCTTCGGGTGCAGATGCAGCTGCCGTGCCAGAAAAGCAAGGAAAAGAGTTTGTACCTTGTAAGAGCATCGAGGACGACTATAGTGAGTCCCTTGGTCTCCCCTCCGCATATTCGTTCTGCCTTGCGACTGGCGCCCTTGTCCTTCTCCTTCTCTTTCTCCTTCTCCTTCTCCTTGTCTTTATCTTTGTCTTTCTCGTCTGTCACATCGTCGTCGTAAAATGCACGAGCCACTAGCTTCACCAGCCTGCAAGAGAAGAGTGCGGGCAGACACAAACAAACAGAACTGGAATGATTTCACGAGCCACTAGCTTCACCAGCCTGCAAGAGAAGAGTGCGGCCAGACACAAACAAACAGAACTGGAATGATTTCACGAGCCACTAGCTTCACCAGCCTGCAAGAGCAGAGCGCGGGCAGAAAATAAAAGGAAGCGCAAGGAAGGAGAATTTGGTTGTATCACTAGCCACTGGCCCCATCAGCCTGAACTTATGGAAACTCTGAGAACTCTCAAAAGGATGAGGAGTAATGGGTGCAAAAAAGCAGACAAAAGCGTTGGCCTGTTTGCTCAAGCCATTGCGCCGTGTGCAGAGAAGACAACAACGAGCGGCGATGCTCGTGACAATAGCGAGATAAACAGAGAGGAGAAACCAGCGAGCACGTACCGACGGAAAGGCTCAACGCTGCTCATGGCGCTGCGCACGTGATGGACTGATTATGCGATGAGTTGAGGCGAGATTTGTCAGAACCTAACTAAATTCATGGCGTACTACGCGATGGCTTTATCATGCAATCAAAGCTGCGTTGAGGAGCCTAAGAAACGAATTGAACTCATGGCGCTTCGTACGCGATGGCCGCAACACGCGTTAAAGTGAGCTGGAAAATCTTATAATCTAGCTGCGCTCGTGACGCTGCTGCTCATAGCGGCGAATACACAATCAGTTGCAGGAACTAGCTGAGCGCGTGACCATGCTCACAACTGGTACGCGGTGCCTACTCCCTCGAGCTCCAACCGCGGCGCCACTGTTCTTCACTCAGTCACGGAGACAGAGCTATTGCAACGCAGATTAAATCACTCGTGGCGACCGGCCTAGGTTCTCCGAAGGCCCTGGTTTCACGGGGGTGAGTGGGAGAGAGCGAGCGCCTTGGGAACTACTAGTTTAGCTGCGCTACTCGCCTTTTCTGTTCACCATTCTTTTCATAGGCTAACCCGCTTCTAGAACCTAGCAAGGTGCTACTAGTGCATTTGAACTTATTACATCTGTGTAACTTGGATGTTAATATACTAAAAAGGGATGATTGATACATTGTGTACTCATCCGGGAAGAATAGATGAAACTGAATAAAAATTGATCAGGTAAGCCACATCTCAATTGAGCAGAGATTCTATTTCTTAGACATTTTGAAGCTATTATATACATTCAAAATTTGCAGAAACAAACAATGATTTCTATACACATTTCTTTCCGCTCGTTTATGCTTATAATACTAACGCATCTCACAGAAAACAGGTTAGTCCCGCTCTGACAGCACCTTCCCTCGCTGCAGTCACATTCTTCCCGCACTTTTCAACAAATTTTGAATCCTAGGTGGAGGTCCTGGGTATCCCCAAGAACAAACGATTCAGTGGTATTTCCGTCTTTCGCTATCGCAACATGCACTCCAGTTTCCCTCCACCTCCCTCGGGGATTCCGACGCTTTTCTTAGGAGCAACTATTTCTCGGAAATAAGTGCAGATAGTCTTTCTCGTCAGTTCCCGCCGAACTTTCCAGTAGATTCAACATAGACGTCGCTAATAAGTCCAGATAGGTCCAGTAGTTTGATTCAGGAAAAAGAACAGAAGCCTAAGGTCCTCCGACCCCGTCGAGCATCATTGTCCTAATCCAACTCCGTTGGACATAGCGGAATTCTCGCCTCACTGAATATCCTAATCTAGCACCGCTAACCCGTCAAACATCCTTGTCCGAATCTGCCTAGAAGGAAGCATAATTTGCCGTATCCCATCTTTGAGGCGCCTCAAAAATTGCCTAGAAGGAAGCATTTTTCGCCGTAACCCATCTGAAATGGATGTAGCAGAGGTGTTGCCTCACTCCGGCGCCTGCAGCCTCTCTCCCGACGGCCGGTGCCTCGCCGTCGCGCAGGGGAAGAAGCTACACCTGCGCTCAGTACCGTCTCTCGAGGCAAGTACCGTTGTGCTCTAGGTACTGTTCAATTTTCTGTATTCACCAAACACTCTCCCCCGGCGGCCAGTTCGTCCCCGTCGCGCAGGGGAGGAAGCTTCACCTGCGCTCCGTACCGTCTCTCGAGGCAAGTACACTGATTCGAGCAACCATTCCATGCTTGCCTCGATAGCTGGCTGGTACTGACACTTTGAACCAGCAGTCTCGAATAGTTTATATCTGAATCAACGTAAATAAGAAGCTTCTGATTCGTCTGAAAGATCTGGCTGGTGCCGATACCAGCACCAGGAGAGTCTGATCAGTCAGAAGCGCTTCCGTCACATGTTGATTTCCTGTAGTTCAAAGGCACATCTTCAAGTAACGTACCAACCTTTGAGAATGCAAAAGAAAAGCTCACTCTTTTCGTGCCCGCTCCCCCCCCCCCCCCCCCTACCCCTCCTCACCCCCCACACTCCTCCCCTCCCTACCTGTCAATTTGTGATCTCTGTCCCCTGTATGCGCCCACTCAATTCAACTACAGGACCTCCGAACGTGCACCTGCACAGGGCCGATCTCAGCCGTCGAATGGGCTCCTGATTCCTCGATGGTATTCGCAGCTTGCTACTCACAAGCTACAGTGCACGTAAGCTACAGTTTATGTAAGCTGCATTGCAGGTGAGCTATGGTTAAAGTGCTGTTAAGAAACAGTGCGTGTAAATTACAGTGCATAGACGGATCTAATTGGCCATAAAGTACAATAGCAGGCACCTCATCGCCGCTCATTGCATGTGAAACCCTTTCTGCATATCAAACCCTTTCCCTCGGATGTGGTTGTTGGCGCTCCCTGATTGGTCCGCCACAGTGCGTGAGGACGAGGCAGCAGTTCTTCTGCATGGCACGTGGCCCCCTCACTCCACGTACACACCCTGACCCTCCCTTATCGCGTTGGACACCTTCTATCGCGTATGAACCTCCTCTTATTTCAGGTGTGGGCTGTGGCGCTCCCTGATGCTCCACCACAGAGCACGAGGTCGAGACAGCAGGCCTGCTGCACGCCCCATGGACCCCGCACTCCACACCCTCAGCCTTTTCTCCTTTATATGAACGTATGAAACCCCTTCCTTCTCTCCCCTTTCTCTCCCTTAACATGTACACGACACCCTCGTTTCAGGTGTGGGCGGTGGCGCTCCCTGACTGGTCCGCCACAGTGCGTGAAGACGAGACAGCAGGCCTGGTGCACGCAGCATGGGCTCTGGACTCGAACCACAACCCCCGAATCTCCCACTATCGCATATTAAACCCCCTCATTTCAGGTGTGGGCCGTGGCTCTCCCTGACTGGTCCGCCACAGTGCGTGAAGACGAGACAGCAGGCCTGGTGCACGCAGCATGGGCACCGGACTCGACCCACCTGCTGCTCTCCGCCGACCACAGGCTGCGTGTGACTATATGGAATGTGACATCGAGGTAAGCATACGGGAGGTGGCTTCCAGGTGACCATATAGCTAAACAGATTGTTCCGTCTTGCACGAGGACGAGACAGCAGGCCTGCTGCGCGCCTCGTGGGCTCCGGATTCCACCCCCCTGCTGCGCGCCTCGTGGGCTCCGGATTCCACCCCCCTGCTGCGCGCCTCGTGGGCTCCGGATTCCACCCCCCTGCTGCGCGCCTCGTGGGCCCCGGATTCCACCCCCCTGCTGCGCGCCTCGTGGGCTCCGGATTCCACCCCCCTGCTGCACGCCTCGTGGGCTCCGGATTCCACCCCCCTGCTGCGCGCCTCGTGGGCTCCGGATTCCACCCCCCTGCTGCGCGCCTCGTGGGCTCCGGATTCCACCCCCCTGCTGCGCGCCTCGTGGGCTCCGGACCACAGGCTGCGTGTGACTATATGGGATGCGACTTCCAGGTGAGTGTATGGAACGTCACTTCCAGGTGAATATATGCAACGTCACACATCCAGCTGACCATGTGAATACCAGTGCAAATCCTCTCGCCCAAACACCCAGTACGTGCCCTCGCCTTCTCCCCAAACCACCTGATCCGTTCCATTGCCTAACACATTTCCTCCGCTTCTTTCTCCCTTCTCCCTCCCCTGCCAAATCCCACAGCCATTCACCCCCAGTGCACGTCCCCCTGCCCAAGCACCCCATACGTGCCCTCGCTATCTCCTGCAATGACTCCTTCACTACAGTGCCTTACCGTCCACTTGTTTCTTTTGTCTTTTCCTCCCTTCCTCATTTCTCTCTTCTCCCTTCCCTTCCCCACCCCGCCCCTTCCCCACCCCACAGCCAGTCGCCCCCTGTGCACATCCCCTGCCCACGCACCCTGTGCGCGCCCTCGCCTTTTCCCCCAACCACCGCGACTGTTCCATTGCCTAAATGATCCCCTTTGCTCCTTTTTCCTTCTCCCCCCTCTCGTTTCCCCACCCCACAGCCATTCACCCCCAGTGCACATCCCCCTGCCCAAGCACCCCATACGCGCCCTCGCTTTCTCCCCCAACCACCTACTCCTAGCGGCCCTCCACTCCCTCCCATCTAATCAGAGCATGCCACCTGCCGCTGCCGCCCCAACTGCTGCTACTGGGGTTACAGAATCTGGGTCTGCTGCTGCTGCTGCTGCTGGTGCTGCTGGTATCGCTACTGGTGCTGGTGCTGGCAGTGCCAATGCTAGAAGAACGAGTGAGAGCTCTGCTGTGGGGCTGGGAGGGGTGCAAGGAGGTAGAACAGAGGCAAGAGGAGGAGCACGAAGAGCATCTGCTGTAGCAGGGGGGGGAGGCGGAGGGGGAGGAGGAGGGGGAGGGGGAGCAGCGGGGCAGAGTCGCGACGTGGTGAGCCTGTACGCCTGTGACACGTGGCAGGAGGTGGTTTGCTTCCGCACAGACACTGTGGACGCTGCTGACGTGGCATGGGCAGCTGAGGGCAGCGGGGTTATTGTCTGGGATCACCCAATGGAATTCAGGGTAAGTGAGCAACTTTTGGACAGAAGAAGTCGATTGGGTGCTGTTGATTGGCAGCGACATGATTTCAACTACAATTGAGAAAGTTTGCTTCTTGTAGCAATTGGCATCGTTCTCATTACAATGGGAACACGCTGCTGCGCCTAACAATGTCAGCGATGGCAGCGACTCCGAAGACGAAGCTGGTGAGGCACATGCACATACCAATTTTCTCGCACCCACCTAGCATCTTCCTCCACTCCCATTCACAAACCCCACTATCCCGGCTTCCTCGTTCCACCATGCCAACGTACGCGAGCAAAACGAGTTTTTTTTTTTTAAGTTTTTGGAATGAGGAAGCCGGGATAGTGGTGTTGGTGGATGGGAGTGGAGGAAGATGCTCGGTGGGTGCGAGAAAATTGGTGTGTGCATGTGCCTCACCAGCTTGGTCTTTGGAGTCGCTGCTGTCGTTGACATTGTTAGGCGCCGCAGTAGTAGTGTGTTCCCTTTTTACATGGGACTTCGAGCGCGGGGGCGTGATACGTCAAATCGTTTTTTGTAGCACCCTTTTTAAGCGAGGTCCGAAAAAATCGGAAGGGATGAAAAGGTGAAATGAACTTGAGCGATTGTGGGTGGAGGAAAAATGACTTCCAACCCACTTATTGTAGTCGGAGAAGTTGATTACCGCCCTTCTACAATGCCAAAAGATTGCGTTCCAATCCGCTTCGCTTTCACAATACGTATATTTGAAAGCGGTGAATGCCTTACTATTATTAGAGCCCCCTCCCCCTTCCCCTTTCCTCATCACTCCCACCAGCTGCTGCTCTTCTCCCCCTCTGGAGAGCCCCAAGCACGCGTAGAGCTGTCGTGCGATCCAGGGTTGTGGCGTCAGTCCCCTTGCGAGTTGACTTTTGAGTCGACTCAAAAGTCAACTCGATCCAGGGTTGTGGCGTCAGTCCCCTTGCGAGTTGACTTTTGAGTCGACTCAAAAGTCAACTCGATCCAGGGTTGTGGCGTCAGTCCCCTTGCGAGTTGACTTTTGAGTCGACTCAAAAGTCAACTCGATCCAGGGTTGTGGCGTCAGTCCCCTTGCGCAATCACCCTCAACACCTCCTCACACCCCCCCTTTCCCCCCCCCCCCCCCCCCACCCTACCTTCTCTCCCCCACCAGCTGCTGCTCTTCTCCCCCTCTGGAGAGCCCCAAGCGTGCATTGAGCTGCCCTGGCCAGGGCTGGGGGTCAGGGCTGTTGCCCCCTCCCCTACCTTTTCACCTGGCGCAGCTTCCGTCTCCATTGCCGATTGCAATGCCAACAGCAGCAGCAGCAGAGGCGACGGTTCAGGTGCTGCTTCAGGTGCTTCCTCAGGTGCTCTGGTGGCGGTGGGCTGTTCGGCCGACCGCCTGCTGCGAGTCTTCCGGGCGGCGGATGGGCGGCCTGTAGTTGAGCTGCCACACGTGCCAGCTGTCAAAATTCCACTGGCTGCTGCCGCCGTTGTGTACGAGGTGGGTGGAGGGTGGGGTATGTGTGCATGTGTGTGTGGGAGAGCGATACAATACAAAAGACCGTTGGAGCGAGAGATGTATGCTTTTGCTTGGGGACATGCATTCTCTTCACTATACAAAATGTGATCAAGTTTAACGTATTCTAACATACAGATTTGCACTGTAATGAACCTGAACATTTGCTGCAACAGTGCACCCCTGCCAATCCGAGGTGACTTTTGAGTCGACTCAAAAGCCCAAAGTCACCGTTTGAGTCGATTCAAGAATCACCAGAACGTTTGCCGCAACAGTGCACGCCTTCCAATCCATCGCTCACTCACCTCTCTCCACTCCGCCTGCCCCTCAGGAATGCCTTGGAGTCTCAGATGTTGCCACCACCATGGCACCAGGTGCGTTGTGTCCTGATACCATGTGATAAGTGTGTGAGGTTCTTCCTGAATTCATGGAAGTAGTGTCTGATACCATATAATGCTCGTCCTGCATGTGTGATGTTACACTACATATGGTATGCCGGGCATTTCTGTTATAATTGGGTCTTTTGTAAGTTCCGGCCTTTTATTTATTTGCAGGGAGACACAGCACCTTGAGTTTTCTTATGGCAGAATGTACCCCGAACCGAAGGAAGATATGTTCAAGGACTCTAGTATATGAATGTATATGTATTTTTCTGTGTGTAAAATAGATATATATGTATTTATAAATATATAATATACTTCGACCCGCACTTTTGCTTCCAGATGCCGCCGAGGAGGAAGATGTGGAAATCGTTTCTTACCGGGTGCTTGATCTGCCCGTTCAGCTGCCCGTCCAGAAGCCTCCAGTGGACAAGCCCAACCCAAAACAGGGAGTCGGTAAGCATGTGGGTGAGCGTGATTGGGCGTGGCTGGGATTGGCTGAAATGGTCTGAGATCGGTTGGGATTGGCCAAGATTGGATGGGACTGATTGAACCTGGCCGAGGGTTCTCCTCCCCCCTCCACTGCTCTCCTCCTCTTCCCCTACCCATTCCAGCACCACCACTTCTCCCCCTGCTGTATTGTGCTGTGACAGTGGCAGCAGCAGCGGTCGCACTCTTGCTTCTTGCAAACACCCCACTTCCCCAAACTACTTCCCCAATTTACCCCCCTTACCCCTTCCCACCTTGTGTTCTTCTCCCCTGCAGGCCTCATACAGTGGAGTGCCAATGGAGAGTATCTCGCCACACGCTGCCATGACATCCCGACCGTCCTTTGGATCTGAACCCCCTCACACCCTCTTCTTCCTTTCAGGCATCATTCAGTGGAGTGCCAACAGAGAGTATCTTGCCTCTCGCTGCGATGGCATCTCAACCCAAACGCCCCACCCATTCCTATCCCCAACACCCCAAACCCCCCACCCCCTTTTCCTCTGCAGGTCTCCTACAGTGGAGTGCCAAAGGAGAGTATCTAGCCACGCGCTGCGATGACATCCCGACCGTCCTTTGGATCTGGGCGGCACGGCGCAAGTTTGAGCTGGCAGCGGTGCTGCTGCAGCGGCAGCCAATCAGAGCAGCTGCCTGGCACCCGTCAGTTCCTTGCATTGCATTTTGTTCTGGTACACCACATTTATTTACATGGAAGCCGGTTAAAGTTAGCAATGGTGGAAGCATGGGAACGGTTGATGGTGGTGGAACCACGGAAGGGAATGGTGGCGGAGCAGTTTTGGCAGCAGAACAAAAGGCAAGGGTGAGTAGCAGTTCAGCATCTACTTTTAGAGTGCGGGACGGCATGGCTGTTTGTGATTTGGAGTGGGACAAGGAAGGCCAGTGCCTTTTGTTGAAGGACAAGCAGAAGTGCTGCATTGCTCTCCCTGCTTTCCATACCTTAGATTAGAAGTGGAGTGAAAAGTTGTGTGTCTGCTGTAAATACAAATTGTTGAAGTATAGTCCTCGCTTTAGCGTGCCTTGCCAAAACTTGTAGTATACTGTATGAAACCGCTGAACTGCAAAAAAACGTCCGCAACGGGGAGGTTGGAAGGGGGGTACAAGCTGTTTGCTTTTCGGGTGTACCCTTCTTCGAGAGGCTGATGGAACTCGCCTCAGTTTTTGTGGTGCAGTATAGCTGTAAATTACCCACCGACACTGGCCCGTGAAATTTCTACCAGAAAGCGATCTATGCTGCCGTTTGTGGCACCAAGATGTGGAAAAACCATGGAACACCAAAATTTGTTCAATAGAGAGCAGTTCCAGTCATACCCTTGGATGTGTTAGGGCAACACTGGTCGTTTCATGTTCGCGGTGCTTCACTTTGAGGTGATGGGTGTGGCATAGCTTGGAATTCTGTGGATGGAGCACCCATGATCGATGCAGCACACTGAACAACCATGGATGCCTAGAAAAGCTTGTCGCTGGAAAAAGTAATATACCAACGGACGGCAGTCGTGCGTTCAGTGATTTTTTTTTTCTGGCAGCTCCGAAGGTGGCCGTTCAGATTACCACGCGGAAGTTCAGTTCACTGAGTTTTATTCTATTCCGACCTGAAATTTCATTTTCGACACGGAATCTCTCAAGACGCTGCCTCGAATACCACCGTCCATTTCTCGGCTTTCCCGTGTTGCTCGGTATCAGATTTCTGAAAATATCATCTGGAATCAGAATCTTTCGTCACTTGCGTTGCGCTGTCTCGACGAGGCGTGAAACAGCAGCCATCATGATGGATCCGCTAGACGAGCTCATGAAACTGCAGGTCAGCCCTCTGTCACCCCAGATTTGATTCTTGAATTGAAAGTCGCTTGCGTTGCTCTGTCTCGACGAGGCGTGAAGTTGAGGCGCGAAGCCGCAGCCATAAATCCGATAGACGAGCATATGAAGCTGCAGGCTAGCGCTCACCCCGCTTTCCGTCAGCTGCTAGAGGAGCTTCAGTTATCGAGCAACGATGCACGTGGAGTTAAGCCGCTGTAATGATTCCGATCTGCGTCAGCGCTTGTTTCGTCACTTTATATCACCTTGTTTCACCATTTTCGTGTCACGTTACGTTATGTTATGTTTTGTTTTGTTTTTTTTTTCCACAGGAGGAGTACGACAAACTCGAGTCCGTCTATAACGCGGATGTGTCTAAGGCTCTTAAGGCGTACCAGCGAACATGCGACCCTCTTTTTGAGGTAATCTCCGAACCCATCCAATCAGTCCATTGGTTATGGCTAATTGATTTACCACATGATTTTTTTTTCCTCATGGACGTGGAAATCCGCCTCTTTATCCATCCTTTCATCCATTTGTTAAAATCTGTCTGTGCATATCAGAGGCGAAAGCAAATCGTGTGTGGAGATTCAGAGCCGACAGAGGAGGAGGCAGCCGTTGCAGACCCAGACGAGGAAGATGAAGAGGAAGAGGAGGAGGAGGGAGGAGGGGAGCAGCAGCAAGGAGGGAAGGTGGCGAAGGCGCCTAAAGGCGTGCCCAAGTTCTGGCTCACAGTCTTGAAGAAACATGTACGTGGGTCCCTCCCTGTGTTGACACGAATTCCAAGTGACTTTTGAGGCATGAAGGCGCCTAAAGGCGTGCCCAAGTTCTGGCTCACAGTCTTGAAGAAACATGTGAGTGGGTCCCTCCCTGTGTTGACACGAATTCCAGGTGACCTTTGAGTTGCCTCAGACACATTGGCCCACATTCTTTAGATGTGCCCACGAAGGCCACAAAGGTCACGAAGGCGCCTAAAGGCGTGCCCAAGTTCTGGCTCACAGCCTTGAAGAAACTTGTACGTGGATTCATGTTTTGAGGTTATAATATTGGAATTTATATATTGTTGTGAGCCCTGCTGAAGGCATTTTGTTTGTTGTCTTGGTTACTTCTCACCCCCCACTTACCACACCCCCCCACGTGCAGGCCTGCTGCACACTTGTGTGCAGAGCTGCTGAAGGCCTCAGACTTGTCGTTTCCTCTGGCCGCTCGCTGTGCCTGTCCCTATCACCTCCCTTCTCTCCCATCACTCCCTTCTCTCCCATCACTCCCTTCTCTCCCATCACTCCCTTCTCTCCCATCACTCCCTTCTCTCCCATCACTCCCTTCTCTCCCATCACTCCCTTCTCTCCCATCACTCCCTTCTCTCCCATCACTCCCTTCTCTCCCATCACTCCCTTCTCTCCCATCACTCCCATCTCTCCCATCACTCCCGTCCCCTCTTCTCTACAACCCCGCCCTCACAGGATGCTGTAGCGGAGTTCATTCACAAGCGGGACGAGGAGGCTTTGGAGAGCCTAAGGGACGTGCGAGTGCAGATAGTCCCGTGACCTGCCTCACTCTATTCTCCCCGCCCCTTCACTCCGCTGCCCTCCCCTTTCTGCCATCACAGGATGCTGTAGCGGAGTTCATTCACAAGCGGGACGAGGAGGCATTGAAAGGCCTAAGGATCGTGCGTGTGCAGATGCTTCCTTAGGATCGTGCGTGTGCAGATGCTTCCTTAGGATCGTGCGCGTGCAGATGCTTCCTTAGGATCGTGCGTGTGCAGATGCTTCCTTAGGATCGTGCGCGTGCAGATGCTTCCTTAGGATCGTGCGTGTGCAGTTGCTTCCTTAGGATCGTGCGTGTGCAGATGCTTCCTTAGGATCGTGCGTGTGCAGATGCTTCCTTGACTCGTCTCACTCTGTTCTCCCCCACCACGCCCCTCCCCTTCCTTACAGGATGCTGTAGCGGAGTTCATTCACAAGCGGGACGAGGAGGCATTGGAGAGCCTAAGGGACGTGCGGGTTCGCTTTGTTAAAGCTGCTGGTGACAGTAGCGGTGCCTCTGATAAGGGCACAGGTGGTGCAGTTACGCGGCTGGAGCTACACTTCGGCCCCAACGCGTTCTTCTCTAACAAATCGCTCTATATCGAGACAGTGGAGGTGGCTACAGGAGGAGGGGGGGAGGAGGGGGAAATGGGGGAAGAAGAGGGGGATGGGGGCGGAGGGGGAGGGGGAGGGTCGGTGGTGGTGGTGAAAGAGGTGTCTGAGATTCAGTGGAAGGGCGTTGAGAAGAATTTGACTCTGCGACAGATTGTGAAGGCCGGGAAGAAGGGAAAGGTGAGTTGGGTGCGTTTTGGTTGCTTTTTGGGTGTAGCTGGTGGATGAACCAGCCTGGCTGATGGGATAGATAGACTATGCATGCCAAGAGTGAAGAAGGATTCGAACGGCAGGCCGATTGGATTGACTATGCATGCCAAGAGTGAAGAAGGATTCGAACGGCAGGCCGATTGGATAGACTATGCATGCCAAGAGTGAAGAAGGATTCGAACGGCAGGCCGATTGGATAGACTATGCATGCCAAGAGTGAAGAAGGATTCGAACGGCAGGCCGATTGGATAGACTATGCATGCCAAGAGTGAAGAAGGATTCGAACGGCAGGCCGATTGGATAGACTATGCATGCCAAGAGTGAAGAAGGATTCGAACGGCAGGCCGATTGGATAGACTATGCATGCCAAGAGTGAAGAAGGATTCGAACGGCAGGCCGATTGGATAGACTATGCATGCCAAGAGTGAAGAAGGATTCGAACGGCAGGCCGATTGGATAGACTATGCATGCCAAGAGTGAAGAAGGATTCGAGCGGCAGGCCGATTGGATAGACTATGCATGCCAAGAGTGAAGAAGGACTCGAACGGCAGGCCGATTGGATAGACTATGCATGCCAAGAGTGAAGAAGGATTCGAACGGCAGGCCGATTGGATAGACTATGCATGCCAAGAGTGAAGAAGGACTCGAACGGCAGGCCGATTGGATAGACTATGCATGCCAAGAGTGAAGAAGGATTCGAACGGCAGGCCGATTGGATAGACTATGCATGCCAAGAGTGAAGAAGGATTCGAACGGCAGGCCGATTGGATAGACTATGCATGCCAAGAGTGAAGAAGGATTCGAGCGGCAGGCCGATTGGATAGACTATGCATGCCAAGAGTGAAGAAAGACTCGAACGGCAGGCCGATTGGATAGACTATGCATGCCAAGAGTGAAGAAGGATTCGAACGGCAGGCCGATTGGATAGACTATGCATGCCAAGAGTGAAGAAGGACTCGAACGGCAGGCCGATTGGATAGACTATGCATGCCAAGAGTGAAGAAGGATTCGAACGGCAGGCCGATTGGATAGACTATGCATGCCAAGAGTGAAGAAGGATTCGAACGGCAGGCCGATTGGATAGACTATGCATGCCAAGAGTGAAGAAGGATTCGAACGGCAGGCCGATTGGATAGACTATGCATGCCAAGAGTGAAGAAGGATTCGAACGGCAGGCCGATTGGATAGACTATGCATGCCAAGAGTGAAGAAGGATTCGAACGGCAGGCCGATTGGATAGACAATGCATGCCAAGAGTGAAGAAGGATTCGAACGGCAGGCCGATTGGATAGACTATGCATGCCAAGAGTGAAGAAGGACTCGAACGGCAGGCCGATTGGATAGACTATGCATGCCAAGAGTGAAGAAGGACTCGAACGGCAGGCCGATTGGATAGACTATGCATGCCAAGAGTGAAGAAGGATTCGAACGGCAGGCCGATTGGATAGACTATGCATGCCAAGAGTGAAGAAGGATTCGAACGGCAGGCCAATTGGATAGACTATGCATGCCAAGAGTGAAGAAGGATTCGAACGGCAGGCCGATTGGATAGACTATGCATGCCAAGAGTGAAGAAGGACTCGAACGGCAGGCCGATTGGATAGACTATGCATGCCAAGAGTGAAGAAGGACTCGAACGGCAGGCCGATTGGATAGACTATGCATGCCAAGAGTGAAGAAGGATTCGAACGGCAGGCCGATTGGATAGACTATGCATGCCAAGAGTGAAGAAGGATTCGAACGGCAGGCCGATTGGATAGACTATGCATGCCAAGAGTGAAGAAGGATTCGAACGGCAGGCCGATTGGATAGACTATGCATGCCAAGAGTGAAGAAGGACTCGAACGGCAGGCCGATTGGATAGACTATGCATGCCAAGAGTGAAGAAGGATTCGAACGGCAGGCCGATTGGATAGACTATGCATGCCAAGAGTGAAGAAGGATTCGAACGGCAGGCCAATTGGATAGACCATGCATGCCAAGAGTGAAGAAGAATTCGAACGGCAGGCCGATTGGATAGACTATGCATGCCAAGAGTGAAGAAGGACTCGAACGGCAGGCCGATTGGATAGACTATGCATGCCAAGAGTGAAGAAGGACTCGAACGGCAGGCCGATTGGATAGACTATGCATGCCAAGAGTGAAGAAGGATTCGAACGGCAGGCCGATTGGATAGACTATGCATGCCAAGAGTGAAGAAGGATTCGAACGGCAGGCCGATTGGATAGACTATGCATGCCAAGAGTGAAGAAGGATTCGAACGGCAGGCCGATTGGATAGACTATGCATGCCAAGAGTGAAGAAGGATTCGAACGGCAGGCCGATTGGATAGACTATGCATGCCAAGAGTGAAGAAGGATTCGAACGGCAGGCCGATTGGATAGACTATGCATGCCAAGAGTGAAGAAGGATTCGAACGGCAGGCCGATTGGATAGACTATGCATGCCAAGAGTGAAGAAGGATTCGAACGGCAGGCCGATTGGATAGACTTTGCATGCCAAGAGTGAAGAAGGATTCGAACGGCAGGCCGATTGGATAGACTATGCATGCCAAGAGTGAAGAAGGATTCGAACGGCAGGCCGATTGGATAGACTATGCATGCCAAGAGTGAAGAAGGATTCGAACGGCAGGCCGATTGGATAGACTATGCATGCCAAGAGTGAAGAAGGATTCGAACGGCAGGCCGATTGGATAGACTATGCATGCCAAGAGTGAAGAAGGATTCGAACGGCAGGCCGATTGGATAGACTATGCATGCCAAGAGTGAAGAAGGATTCGAACGGCAGGCCGATTGGATAGACTATGCATGCCAAGAGTGAAGAAGGATTCGAACGGCAGGCCGATTGGATAGACTATGCATGCCAAGAGTGAAGAAGGATTCGAACGGCAGGCCGATTGGATAGACTATGCATGCCAAGAGTGAAGAAGGACTCGAACGGCAGGCCGATTGGATAGACTATGCATGCCAAGAGTGAAGAAGGATTCGAACGGCAGGCCGATTGGATAGACTATGCATGCCAAGAGTGAAGAAGGACTCGAACGGCAGGCCGATTGGATAGACTATGCATGCCAAGAGTGAAGAAGGATTCGAACGGCAGGCCGATTGGATAGACTATGCATGCCAAGAGTGAAGAAGGATTCGAACGGCAGGCCGATTGGATAGACTATGCATGCCAAGAGTGAAGAAGGACTCGAACGGCAGGCCGATTGGATAGACTATGCATGCCAAGAGTGAAGAAGGATTCGAACGGCAGGCCGATTGGATAGACTATGCATGCCAAGAGTGAAGAAGGATTCGAACGGCAGGCCGATTGGATAGACTATGCATGCCAAGAGTGAAGAAGGATTCGAACGGCAGGCCGATTGGATAGACTATGCATGCCAAGAGTGAAGAAGGATTCGAACGGCAGGCCGATTGGATAGACTATGCATGCCAAGAGTGAAGAAGGACTCGAACGGCAGGCCGATTGGATAGACTATGCATGCCAAGAGTGAAGAAGGATTCGAACGGCAGGCCGATTGGATAGACTATGCATGCCAAGAGTGAAGAAGGATTCGAACGGCAGGCCGATTGGATAGACTATGCATGCCAAGAGTGAAGAAGGATTCGAACGGCAGGCCGATTGGATAGACTATGCATGCCAAGAGTGAAGAAGGATTCGAACGGCAGGCCGATTGGATAGACTATGCATGCCAAGAGTGAAGAAGGATTCGAACGGCAGGCCGATTGGATAGACTATGCATGCCAAGAGTGAAGAAGGATTCGAACGGCAGGCCGATTGGATAGACTATGCATGCCAAGAGTGAAGAAGGATTCGAACGGCACGCCGATTGGATAGACTATGCATGCCAAGAGTGAAGAAGGATTCGAACGGCAGGCCGATTGGATAGACTATGCATGCCAAGAGTGAAGAAGGACTCGAACGGCAGGCCGATTGGATAGACTATGCATGCCAAGAGTGAAGAAGGATTCGAACGGCAGGCCGATTGGATAGACTATGCATGCCAAGAGTGAAGAAGGACTCGAACGGCAGGCCGATTGGATAGACTATGCATGCCAAGAGTGAAGAAGGATTCGAACGGCAGGCCGATTGGATAGACTATGCATGCCAAGAGTGAAGAAGGATTCGAACGGCAGGCCGATTGGATAGACTATGCATGCCAAGAGTGAAGAAGGACTCGAACGGCAGGCCGATTGGATAGACTATGCATGCCAAGAGTGAAGAAGGATTCGAACGGCAGGCCGATTGGATAGACTATGCATGCCAAGAGTGAAGAAGGATTCGAACGGCAGGCCGATTGGATAGACTATGCATGCCAAGAGTGAAGAAGGATTCGAACGGCAGGCCGATTGGATAGACTATGCATGCCAAGAGTGAAGAAGGATTCGAACGGCAGGCCGATTGGATAGACTATGCATGCCAAGAGTGAAGAAGGATTCGAACGGCACGCCGATTGGATAGACTATGCATGCCAAGAGTGAAGAAGGATTCGAACGGCAGGCCGATTGGATAGACTATGCATGCCAAGAGTGAAGAAGGACTCGAACGGCAGGCCGATTGGATAGACTATGCATGCCAAGAGTGAAGAAGGATTCGAACGGCAGGCCGATTGGATAGACTATGCATGCCAAGAGTGAAGAAGGACTCGAACGGCAGGCCGATTGGATAGACTATGCATGCCAAGAGTGAAGAAGGATTCGAACGGCAGGCCGATTGGATAGACTATGCATGCCAAGAGTGAAGAAGGATTCGAACGGCAGGCCGATTGGATAGACTATGCATGCCAAGAGTGAAGAAGGACTCGAACGGCAGGCCGATTGGATAGACTATGCATGCCAAGAGTGAAGAAGGATTCGAACGGCAGGCCGATTGGATAGACTATGCATGCCAAGAGTGAAGAAGGATTCGAACGGCAGGCCGATTGGATAGACTATGCATGCCAAGAGTGAAGAAGGATTCGAACGGCAGGCCGATTGGATAGACTATGCATGCCAAGAGTGAAGAAGGATTCGAACGGCAGGCCGATTGGATAGACTATGCATGCCAAGAGTGAAGAAGGATTCGAACGGCAGGCCGATTGGATAGACTATGCATGCCAAGAGTGAAGAAGGATTCGAACGGCAGGCCGATTGGATAGACTATGCATGCCAAGAGTGAAGAAGGATTCGAACGGCAGGCCGATTGGATAGACTATGCATGCCAAGAGTGAAGAAGGATTCGAACGGCAGGCCGATTGGATAGACTATGCATGCCAAGAGTGAAGAAGGATTCGAACGGCAGGCCGATTGGATAGACTATGCATGCCAAGAGTGAAGAAGGATTCGAACGGCAGGCCGATTGGATAGACTATGCATGCCAAGAGTGAAGAAGGATTCGAACGGCAGGCCGATTGGATAGACTATGCATGCCAAGAGTGAAGAAGGATTCGAACGGCAGGCCGATTGGATAGACTATGCATGCCAAGAGTGAAGAAGGATTCGAACGGCAGGCCGATTGGATAGACTATGCATGCCAAGAGTGAAGAAGGATTCGAACGGCAGGCCGATTGGATAGACTATGCATGCCAAGAGTGAAGAAGGATTCGAACGGCAGGCCGATTCGATAGACTATGCATGCCAAGACGAAGTTATTTGATGCCTCAGAAATAGTCCTCAGGCTAACTGGATGGTCTATTGTGTGATGAGGCAAATCGTGTGAAGGCTGGGAGGAAAGGGGAGACGTGTTGGGCCTGGTTGATTGAACAGTTAGGTTGACTGGATATACTATCTGATGCTGGTTGGAGAGGGGGGTTGACATGGGCTGATTGGATAGATTATACGATATCGAGGCCCCTGGCGCAATTAAAACCATGTCCTTCTCCTCCTCCTCCAAATCCCTTGCCCCCTCGCGTTCTTGTTCTCTTGCCCCTGCACTGGCTCGGCTCGGGTATAATGCTCAAGTCATGAGCTAATTGACGACACAGTTCGGCTCTTGCTGGCTTACTTGACCCGACTCTGTTTGAAAACATGCCGAGCCATACGCGGCTCGAGACGACGCTGGCTTGGCTTGTCTCATGTTCATCTCTTCTACAAGACAGTGATATCGCAGCTTAACGGTCGAGCACGCCCCGGTTCACGTCGTTGCGACATATTGAGTTGAAATTTGAGGCGCCTCAAATTCCAACTCAAAATTCAACTTTTGAGGCGCCTCAAAATTCTACAAGATAGTGATATCGTAGCTGAAGGGCCAAGCACGCCCCGGTTCACGCCGTTGCGACGAATTCACCTGTAATGCCGTTTAAGGGAGTCTGGCTTGGCTTGTCCCGTGTTCACCTCTACTACAGGTTTGGCAGGCCTTAATGAACTACATTCTCAAGTAGCCTCCGTGATCGATCGTTTTTTTGAGGAGAGTTGGATTGCTCTGGCTGCAATGGAAGCTCGAACAGACGCCGAAGAAATTGTTGATATGGCTCAAAGTTGTCGGCATGCAGCCAATATGAGATGACGAAGAAAGATGTCTCTGTTGGGCTGAGCAGGACCTGCGCCTACATGCCGACAGCTTTGAGCCATATCAACAATCTCTTCGGAATCTGTTCGCGCTTCCATTGCAGCCACATCGATCGATCACGGAGGCTACTTGAGAATGAAATTCATGAAGGCCTGCCGAACCCGAACATTTGATCGTGTTGGACCCCCTCCCCCCTTTTTCTTGCCCTTTCGTCCCTTAGTTTTCCTATGACAGGGTGGCAAGGGAAAAAAAGGAGCAGGTAGGGAAGCCGAGGATCCCGCCACAGTTGAGACCAAGCCCTGCCCTTCCTTCTTTTACCTTCCTGCTTCTCCCCCCCCTTGCTCTCCTCCTCTCCCCTTGTTTTCAATCACAGGGTGGCAAGGGGAAGAAAGGAGGAGGTAGGGAAGCCGAACCTCCTGCGACAATTGAGTCGACTCAAAAGTCACCTCAGGGAGGCAAGGGGAAGAAAGGAGGAGGTAGGGAAGCCGAACCTCCTGCGACAGTCAAGACCAAGCCCTGCCCTTCCTTCTTCAACTTCTTCACCATTCCCTCCCTCGTTCCCTCTCTCTCGCAAACCCCTTCGCCTTGTTCTTGCCCTTGGCCCCCTTCCTATCACAGGGAGGTAAGGGGAAGAAAGGAGCAGGTAGGGAAGCCGAGGCTCCCTCAACAGTCAAGACCAAGCCCTGCCCTTCCTTCTTCAACTTCTTCACTCTCTCGCGTAACATGCGGGGCAATAAAGCCACCGCCCAGCTCAGCAGCAAAGGGGGGAGGAGCAGAGGGGGGGACGGAGACGAGGGGGATGAGGGGGAGGAGGGGGATGAGGAGGCGGATGAGGAGGGAGACGAGGGTTTGGAGGGTATGCCTGTGTTTGGGGGGGAGGATCTGGGGGAGGTGGTTCTGAAGGTGCCTCAGGAGCGGGTGTTATCTGATGGCAAGATGGACGTGTGGCAAGCGCTGTGCAACGAGGTGCGTGTCGGTTTAGTGGGGTGCAATGGTGTGAGGTGCGGTGTAGTACAGTGAATCTTGTGAAGCGGAATGGGTGGGTAACATGGTTACATGTGGGTGTTTTCTGATGGGAAGATGGACATCTGGCAGTCGCTGTGCAACGAGGTGCGTGCCGGTTTAGTGTGGTGGAATGGTATGTTGTGTGGTACAATGATGTGCAGTGGGGTGTGTGGCTGATGATGAGACGTATATCTTTGCAGCGTGTGTTTTCTGGTGTCACGGTGGACTGCGCATAGGCATGGTGAAATGAGGTGAATGGCAGTTCAGTGCGGTGCAATGCAATCCTTTGTGTGTGTTACGAGGCATACTATGTCAGTTTGATTTGATTTGATTTGATGGCGGTGCTGGTGATCTGATTTGATTCTCCCACAAGCTGCGGTGTTGCTTCTAATCCAATCGAGCCCCACTTAGTCACAATCAAACTCAAAAGTCACTAAGTTATTTCAGACTTGCACCCTCAGACTCTCCCACAAGCTGCGGTGTTGCTTTTCCTGTCCCTTCCCCTCCACCCACGCTCTCTCTCTCAACACTCAGGTGAAACCTGTTAGAAATATATATTGTAGCATGCCAACACTTGTGACTGTACACCAATTGTGCTGTACAGTTAGGTTGGGACTACACCCAACTTTGGGTGTAGTCTTGCATTGTGGGGTGCCTCTGCCAATCCACCCAATTGTGGTGGAGCCCCGAAATGCAACCCCCTTGGCTTAAGGTTGCCTCGCTTCCCACAAGTGAGGCCAACCCAACCCAAGTGGGCCTAAGGTTGCCTCACTCCCCAAAGTGAGGCCAATCCACCCTATGGTCAAATTCACCCTTCTCTTCCAAGCTTCTCTTCCATCTATGTATGCTAGTTCTTACTCTAATCAAGTAATTGGTCTCATTTCCAACTTTCACAATACCTAGAGCAGCTTACCTGTTCACGAGCACAGCCTTCGAGGAGGAGGATGGGGGCGGTGGTGGTGATGGGTGGTGATGTTTCCACGAACCCACCCCTCCCCTCCTCACCTCTGCCCCCCACACACACCCGCTCAGGTTGTACCTAGAGCAGCTGATCTGTTCACGAGCACAGCCTTTGGGGAGGAGGACGGGGGCGGTGGTGGTGATGATGATGATGATGATGCTGACGTGGCAGATGAGGAGGGGTACGAGCATGTTCAGCGCCCATCATCCGGACCTCATCGGCTGGTTCGGCGCCGGATCAGGTGTGTGTGTGTGTGTGTGTGTGTGTGTGTGTGTGTGTGTGTGTGTGTGTGTGTGTGTGCGTCTTAGTTGGAGTATACGCGTTTCGCGTTTTATACGCTAGCGTATAAACGCTAGCGTATAAACGCAGTACGCAGCTTTGGAGGGGACTAATACGCAGTGAAAACGCAGGGCCGGGCAGGGGTAAAAAAAGTTTCGGGCAGGTGAATTTTTTTGGGTTAAGATGTGGGGAAGGGGGTGGTGCAAGGCACCATCACCTCCCTTCCCCTTTTTATTATAGGGCAGGTTACATGCACACAACATTTTGCCTACATCACTAGACCCCCTACCCCACCTCCCTTTCCTTTCCCTTTTTCAGGAATCACTACACTTCATAGGCCCATCCCATCCCATCCCATACCACCCCCTCCCCACATGCATGTCTATGCATACTCATCCTCAAGAACCATGTCCTCTTCCTCCCCAACCTCCTCCTCCGCCCCATCCTCCTCCACCTTGTAGCCCTCGGGAAGGGGCGCCTCAGGAATGTTGCCCTTGACCACCCGCTGCCCCTCAGGGACCTTGTACCAATTGTGCACAACCTGCCAGTTGTGCACAACATATACGAGGTCCCTGCACTTCTCGGACCCGAGGCGGTTGCGCCTTGCCGTGTGGACCGCGTCCCACATGGACCAATTGCGCTCACAGGGCGACGCGGACACCGGCTGCGAAAGGTTGCGGATTGCGCACGTAGCAAGGTGGGGCGCATCTGTGCCGTGCCAATTCCACCACTGGACGGCCGTCATCTTCCCCGCCTTCACAGCCGCGCGGTCTTCCAAGGCGGTGGGCAGCCCGAAACTCCCCTGCAGGGTCAGGTACGCCGTCAGTTCCTCCTGCAGCACAAGAGAGGCTCGGCGCTCCTCGCCGTCGCTCGCGGTGATGGTGAGGTGGTCGTAGTGCTTGGCGATGTAGCCCTTCAGCACGCGCGTGCATTCGATGTCGTTTCTGAAGATGCCCTCCTCTTGGTTGACCGGATTCAAGATCCTGCCAACCACATGCAAGGGGCACGCCAAGCACTTATCCCACCTATCCTTCACGATGAGGCGGATCTCCTTAACCTCCGCCCTCGTCAGGTGACCCGCGGAGTGCTCCTCGAGGATTGCATCCACGTCCTCGGTGAGCTGCAGCATGGCGTCGTAGAGGCGCCCCATCATCCCCTTTGTCGCAGCATCCGTAGCCCGCATGACGGCGAATGGCTTCGCCATGAGCTTGGTGAAGAACTCGGCCTTCTTCCACCAAGCCTCGTCCATGATGTGCTCGCGGAAAGTGTCCGCGCTTTTACTCCTTGCCCCTGTTGCCCACTCCTTCCATTCATCGCTTAAAACCATCTGCACGAGGGCAGCACGGACTTCGACAAGGCGGGAAATAGCGATGAATTGCGTCCCAAAGCGAGTGCCCGCGGGTTTCAGGACCTGCTTGCCCTTCCCGCCCTTGACCTCGGAGCTTCGCAAATACCCCCGCGTGAAGTGGTGGTTGCGCGTGAAGGTGATGATCTCTCCCCCGCGGGTGACAAGGTTCTTCGCCCAATCCATCTTCCCCACGTCCTCCATCAACAGATCGAGGACGTGGGTAGCACAAGGTATGTACTCAATGTGGGGGTAATCCTCCATCAGCTCCCTGCACGCCGCCGCATAGTTCGAGCCGCCGTCCATGCAAAATGCCACCACATTTTCCGGTCCGACTTTCTTGAGAATGGGACGGAGAAGCCCCGCGATGTAACCTCCCGTTTTCGATTCCATCCGTGAGTCGATTGTCTCAGCGAAAACCGCGCCACTGTCGTTGATCAGAAGGACATTGGCTTGCGGACGGCCGTTACGATCAGTCATCATGTCGCTTGACACCGTTACGCCATCCCGCCGCCAGCTCGCCGCGATAGGAGCAAGCGCCGCCTCAATGCGCTTACGACATTTCTGGAGCCCGACGCCCCCGACGTAGCGACGCCTCGGTGCGAGGTAGCCTTCGCCCGCACGCGCAATGCAGGAGACCATGTTGTGCCAAACAGGGTGGTCCGCGTGGTGTTCGGGGAGGCGCAGAGCAGCGAACGCGAGGCAGATCGACTCGTCGGCATCGTTCTTCTTGCAGGCTGACGCGTCGCCGTAGAAATCGGTCATGCGAGACTTCTTCGCCTCGCGAGAAGCACCGGAAACTGCAGCAACGGCCGAGACTTCAGCCGCGCGCTTCTGGTCCCGGGTCCTGGACTTCGTCTCGTACTGTGACTTCACTCCATCCCGCGCGGTCTTGGGAGCTTCCTCGCAGAGGCGGATTTCACGACGCCGCATACCCTTCCAGCTGGTGATGTGCTGAGCAGCGCGGTACATACCGCCCGTGAACTTGTGGCGACAGTACATGCACACCTTGGTGGCGTGGTCGCTGTCGTCGCCGGGTTTCACAAGGAAATGCTTGTACACAGCATGGGTTCCGTGCATGATAACCAGACCGGCGCTGGTTTCCTCAACAGAACTAGCATTAGGAGCTGCAGTAGGGGTACTAGTACTGAGTGTTGCTGCAGGAGGGGTCGCCATACTGAAAGGCGAGCTAAAGAAGAGAGCTAAACTGAATAATGAAAGTCGAGTGGAAAGACACGACACGACATTTATGGTAGGAATGGTGGGTGGGTTGAGGGGGACTCACCTCAACATTGTATTTGAAGAGGTTGGAAGTGAACGGGGTACAAGGGGGTTTGCAATGGTAAAGGGTGGGTTTGGTGCGACTCGGTTTCAAATTTCGAATTCGGGGTTGCACTCGCGACGTGCGAAACCCCACACTTGAATCGCCATGTCGCTAAACGAAACTCAAATTTTGATTTTTTTTTCCCGGTCTGCCCGAGCGTTTTTCAGCGTTTCCGAACCAAAAACGCAGCGGTCGTTTTTTTAGCGCGTATAAACGCAATACGCAAAATGTTCAGAGCGTATACTCCAACTAAGGTGTGCGTGCGTGCGTGCGTGCGTGCGTGCGTGCGTGTGTGCATGCCTGCGCGCGTGCGTGCGTGTGTGTGCATGCAAGTGTGTGCATTTGAGAGCCTGTGTGCATTTGTATATGTGCTTCCTTTCTCAATTGTTAGGACGGTTTTCCTCTTTACTCCCTTCCTGCACTGTCTTCCCTAGTTCCTTACCATGAAGGCACCAGCGGGGATATATAAGGAGTAGCCAGATTTTTTTTTTTTTTTTTTTTTTTTTTTTTTTTTTTTTTTTCAGTCCCCTCCTCTCCTTCTTTCCGTGCCTCCCTTTCCCCTTCCATTCACTTCAGAGCGTTGAAGCACCTGCAGCGGAAGCAGCAGCAGGCAGAGCGCACGAGGGAGGCAGCCATTGCTGGTGCTCGCGCCTCTCTGAGTGAACGCTCTTCAGGCATCTTTGCGCGGCGCAAGGCGGTGGTTATCGGTTCCAAGGCCCTTGACAGGTGTGTAGTGTGGTATGGTATGGTTTGAGGTATTTAACCAGGTGCATGGTTTGGTTTGGTAGTGTAGGTCTTGAACCACATTCAGGGTGGTTTAGGGACCAGAGCGCTGCTTGCGCCTCCCTGAGTGATAGCTCTGCTGGCACTAAGATATCTTTGTTCGATGCAAGGCACTGGCTGTGGGCCCCTTTTGAGACGTCTCAAAACACTCCTTCTTTCACGAGGGTGGTCGAAAACATTCGCCGCCGCGACCACCCTCTCTTCGTACCCTCTTTCCACCAATATTCCCCCCATCCCTCTCTTCCTCCCCCCCACAGCGGTGATCCCTCCCTCGCCCGCCTCCCCCGCTTCTGGCTTCTCGTCCTGCGCTCCGTGCCCTGCCTCGTTGAGACCATTCGCCGCCGCGACCACCCTCTCCTCGCACACCTCTCTGACATTCGCTGGAGGCCACTCAAGGGGAGAGAAGGAGGAGAGGGAGAAGAGGGAGGAGAGGAGGGAGGGGAGGAGGGGGATGGGGAGAGGGGAGGAGATGGAGGGAAGGGCGAGAAAGCCGAGTGTGGGAAGGGAGAGTCGGGGTTTGTGATAGATTTCGAGTTCCTGCCCGGATGCAAGGAATGGATGGCCAATCGCGTGCTCTCAAAGGCGTATTTTTTCCGAACCCGGGCAGCCAGTGGTGGTGGTGGCGGCGGCACCGGCGCAGGAGGCTCGGCGGGCACCGAGGCTGGGGCGTTGGCTCGGGTGGAGTGTAGGACGCCGATAGTGTGGGAGGAAGGGATGGAGTTGACGCTGAAGGAGGTGCAGGACAGCAAAGGGCGGCTGCGAGTCAAGCCCTGCCCCAGGTATCATTTTCTCCAGGTACCACCTGCCCCAGGTACTGTGTTACTCCATGTGAGGTGCAAGAAATCTGGCTTGTCCTTGGTTGTTCTGCAAGTACTCTTGTGACTTCTGGTGCTGACATCATCCCCCCTACATATTCTCCCATTTGCAGCTTCTTCCAGCTGTTTGACAACAATCGCTGCCACCTGGCGTTTGCTGGTGACGAGGCGGTCCACCTGCCGGCTTCCGAGTTGCTGGATAGGGAAGCTGACGTGGCACTGGCCCTGCGTGACGTGGCGATCCCGCGTGCTGCTGAGCTGTACAGGCAGGCAAAGGAGTGGGATCATGGGGATGAAGAGGATGAGGAGGAAGAAGAGGGCGAGGAGGAGGAAGTGGAGTCAGGAGAAGATGATTATAACGGAGACAAGGTAAGTGGATTTGTACCCCCTTTTAACTACAAATGTTATGCTGTATGTTTTCCTTGTCAAGTTCTCTGCTCATCCTTGTTTGTTCCTGTGTGCATTTCTTTCATAGCTCCTTCTATATGAACCACCGGTATGCTTTTCTTTGTCCATATGACTCCTGTTCATATGCCCCTCGTTTCCTTGCTGTGCCCTTCATTACAGCCGAAGGGAGCTTTGAGTGACGCAGCTATTCGGAAGAAGCTTCTGGAGAGGAAGAAGAGGAAGAAGCGGGGAGGGAAGGATGGAGATGAGGACGATGATGTGCGCATATGTGGCCTGCCAAGGAATGTTGCGTATGGCCTGCTGCTTCTGCTTGTGTTCTCGGCTCCATTCATAATTTTCCTTGATGAGGTTCTTATGCGCTTGGGGTTGTGATGCATCAGTGCCATACCATCCTTTTTACCTTTTTTCATAAGTTTTAGAGTTTGAAGTTTCAAACTGTAACGTGACTCTGTTTGAAGCCTTGGACGAAGGGTACGCGTCTGTAGAGTGTATTGAAGCTCTACAATTGTTCGCTGGGGCAGTATCACTGTAGGCGATTCGAAGTGCAAAACGCACAAGGTCTCTCAAGGTTGTCGGCCATACAGTAACACTGCAACTCGCATTTTGTGATTCTAGTTTCCCCCCTTGATTTCCCGATACACCGTAGTCATAAACATCGATATTCATTTAGAGTATCAAGGTTAACTAATATGTGCGATCGCCAAGAGGATCAGTTTTTGCAATGTAACGCAAAAAAGGAGAAACAGTATTTTTTTTTTGCAGATGCCACAAATCAAATGCTTTGCTTTCGAAATGGTGGTCCAGACCATACCAGACAAAGCCGTACACTCGGCCGTCAGTTTCGTCGTTTCCGGTTCCCCAGCAGTTGGGACTGCATTGACTTGGGTTGTGCTCCATATTTTTTCGTGTTGTCGGATCGCGGATTCTCTCATCGAATCGGCCACTACCTGAAAGCGGGAACATGTAGCCCGCGCACGTAATTGGTAGCCGAGCGTCCCGCGCCCCGTGCCGGGGAGTCGAAGATTTGAAATCCATCGCATGACCACCACAAGATCGCAAGTCGTCGTAAGAGATCGCGATAGGTGACGTGGAAGCTGTTTGTCGCAACCATTCCTAGCCGCAACTGTCGTTCAAGCTCCCTCTTCTTCAGCCGAGCTGTCGCAAACGTCGTTCACGTCGACGATCAGTCCCTTTTCGATGGGGAGCATGTCGCACGGGCTGCGACCAGATGAGGCTTGTGCGACCGCCCGTCCCACATTCTTATCAATTCGCCCCTCCGGCATATCTTCCGCTGCGGCTAAATTTGAACACATTTCTCGGATGCCTTTCCCGAAACGCAACTGCCAAAGTTGCTCCTTGTAACCGTACTAAAAGCCTGATTTTGTTTTATGCACCACGTTCCAGCTCATTTCAAACCACGATTTGCACAACCACGCCGCACGGCGCAAGGAAACCCATACACCATGCGCAGCCACTCGAACCACGGCGGCAAAGCACCAAAACAATCATCCAGCAACTGATGCTACCCAAACCCGACCCCAAGCCATACACCCACAACCCCACCTCGTCCTTTCTCGCTCACGAGTCATGACCACGACCCGCCCGTCGGCTGTCCGCCAAATCCCGACGTCATGCGACTGGAAGTCAATCCTGTCCCTCAGTTAGGTTACTTCCTCTGCTTCTCCTAGCCCGTCACGACGGGAAGCAAGGTGGCTGCAGAGAACACACAGGCGATCAACCAACCAAGCGTCACCTCACAAGCCAGCAGCTGACTTCCTTCTAGCTGGCCCCTGCTCACATGCCATTACGCTTCTGCGTGTCTCGTCGTACAGTCTGATTTGAATGTCTCGATTCTAGAACCAGGAGAGGCGCGAATCTTCCGTCAGTCTAGGAGATTATCCATGCGCTCGGGACCGCATTCCAGACGCGCGTATTATTCTAGATTAACTAGGCGAAACTGTCAGTAGTTGCGCGAAGCCGAGGTGCGTGCGGCGGCGTAAGCGATATTCGGAGCAAGAATGCAGCGCGATCTTAGAATTGAATGACTGGACTAAAGAGCGAGACCGATTCTCTAGATATCTCGCGCGTTTTCATGCTTCGGGGTGACTGAAGTCGCAACACGACTTGTAGCATAGGGATAATAGACGTGGGGACGTGTTGGGTGGTGATTATATCGAGGGGCGGATGCCTCTCGGTTCTGCGGAATCTCAAGACGAGGAGCGCAGACACATGCCGCCGTCCGCGCATGCACCCCTTTCCGCGCATGCGCCTTCCGCCGCGCCCTCCGCGCAGGCACCCGCGCTGATGCCCCTCCCGAACGGCGCGCTGTTCGGTTCTGCCGTGCCCCTGCAGCAGCAGCAGCAGCTGCTCCAGGCGCGCGACGGGGAGGGCGCGCAAGCGCAACTCCATGCACCGCAGCAGGGGCTGAAAGCGCCGCAGCAGGCGGGCCAGCCCGGGTTCTTCAACGGTCACCAGACAGAATCTCTAGGCAGTAATGTTCACAATCCGATTCGTGGATCGGGGTTTGGGGGAACGGTTGGGGCGGAGGGAGGCGCTGCGCCCGCGGAGCAGTCAGGCGTGCGGGCGGCGGAGCAGCAGCAGGGACAGGCGCAGCCCGCGCAGCTTGCGCAGCAACAACATCCGCAGTTTCTACAGCCACAGTCGTACCAGCCCGCGCAAATCCCGACGCAGTACCCACCGCAGTACCCGTTTGCGCAAGGGATGGTGATGCAACAAGGACAACAGAACCATTACCAGCAGCAACAGCCACAGCATCAGCCGTCACATCAGCCGCAGCAGCAGCAACAGCAGCCTCTTCCGGTATTTCAACATCATCAGCAATATCAGCAGCAGCAGCAGCAACAGGGGCAGCAGCCTTTGCACCCGCCGTCGCTCCGCCCTCTCTCTCTCAATGGTAACGCGAGTATGCCTCACACCCAGCAAGACAACTCGTCGTTGTCGTCGATGTCTCTTCTTCCTCCGCCTGCCGCTCCCTCACTCGCTCCTCCTCAAAGCGTCACAGGCAGCAGCGCACCGGGACCTAGCGCCTCCGCGCAATTTCTTTCCCCGTCCAACGGGAATCAGCAGTCCATGCAGACACACCCGCAGCAGTACCAGCAGCAGCAACAGCAGCAGCCGCCCCCCCAGCATCCGCAGTACCAACCACTTCAGCAGCAACAGCAGCAGTATCCTCCCCACCAAACACAGCAGCAGCAGCAGCAGCCGCCGCCGCAGCAACTGCAACAGCAGCAGCAACTGCAGCAGCAGCAGCAGCCCATCGTGCCCCCGCTCCTCCACCTTCCCCTTCCCGCGCTCTCCGAAGCCCCCGCGGCCCCGGCTCTCGCTTCCCCGCCCTCGTTGTCCTCCAAGTCCCCCGCGGAGGTTCATCCGCCAATGGAGCCGCTTCCGCCGCTACTTCCGCCCCCCGCCAACCTCAACTCTTCCGCCACCGCCGCACCGTCGTTCCCGTCAATCGGCCGCCCCCTTCCTTCACTTGCGCAGAACACCCGCGGGCTCCCTTTTGGCGGAACGGGCGCAACCGGAGCAAGCTCCACGGGGAACGTCGCGGGAGCCGCCGCGCCGCCGCCGACCACCACCGCTAACTACACGACTCCCGCGGGCCGGTTGCGCGTGGGTTCTCACCTTCCGCTACTCGGCGGTAGGTTCCGTTTCCGCGCAACGATCTCGGAAGGTGGGTCTGCGCGCGTGTTCGAGGCGGTGGATACCGCTGGCAGCTCCGCAGCTGGCGCAAGCGGAGGGGGCGCGCTCGGGGGATTACCAACGGCGTCGGATCTTCAACGGGCGTCGAATCAAAACCAGAGTCAGCTACAACCGACCGTTGTGATCAAGGCGATGCACCGGCAGTATCGTGAGGTGGGACGGCAGGAGCTACAGCTGCTACATATTCTCAACTCGCTTCTGCCGGCCGCGGTTGGCGGCGCAGAAAACGGAAGCGCGGAGAACGGGGATCGAGAGCCGGACGGTTGTCCGGTAGTGCGGTTGATCGAACCTGGAGGATTTGATTTTTCCGGACACATGTGTTTGGTGTTGGAGAAGCTTCACGGGTCGCTCCTTGATTACCTCTGTCGCCGGGCCGTTGAAGACGCCTCCGCGAAACCCGCCGGATCAGCCGCCGCGTCTCCCGGTGGCGCGTCCGCATCTTGCAATTGCGCGGAGAACTCTGTCGAGGAGGGCGCGCGGAGCGGACCAGTTGCGCGCGCACCAGCGTTCCCCGACAGAGTGGAGGACGTCCGCGCGGTTGCGCGCCAAGTGCTCACGGCGCTCGCGGCGGTCCATTCGATCGGGTTCATCCACGGGGATATCAAGCCCGAAAATATCCTCCTTGCTGCGCCGATTCCAAGCGGAACCACCGCGGTTGCTGCAGGAGTGTCGGGTTCTGGGGGGCGGGTTTGCCCTGTGCATTCCCCGCGGCCGGCGCCGTTGAATATCAAGCTCGCTGATTTTGGAAATTCGTTCATGCAGCGGCAGGTGAAGGATTTGTGTCGGGATTTTGATGTTCAGACGCTCGCGTACCGGGCACCTGAAGTTTTGCTCGGGCTGCCATTTGATAAGAGTATCGATCTCTGGTCTCTGGGGTGTGTTCTTTCGGAGCTCGCGATTGGCCGGTTGCTTTTCGTCTGCGATTCGCCCGCGCAGCTGCTTCGCCAGATGGTGGAGATGCTCGGGTTACCTCCTCCTGCGAAGCTGTTTCGCAACGGAAAGCTCTTCCCGCAGCTTGCGAGGAGCGCGCGTGTATACCCGTCGCAGCAGCTGGAGGAGATCGCAGGAGATGCGGATGGCGAGGGTGGGAAGGCTGCGGGCGACGACGACGCAGCGGAGAAGAATCATGCGACAATTCGGTAAGAAAAATTCAGGGGCAGTGTAGGTGAGAACATGCTGTTGGTGCAGCAAAATTGTTTTTTCAAACACGACCGGCTGGAGGAGGAAGGGATTGGGGCATGGTTGCCCAATCAAAAGTCTGGATTGGCGGCGCGGTAAGCGCGACGCGGTTGACGAGAAATTCGAGATTTGGATTGCACATTGTAGTTGGTGCAGGTGGATAACGGTTTCGCTTGGCTAGGCATCTTTCGCGTATATCGTCAAATGTGCGAAAATGTATCTCGAACCTCACAATGGCTGAGAAGTAGCATTCGCCAGTATCGCGAAACGATTTGCGAAAACCTACAATTTTGACATCTCTAATCCCCCCACCGTAAGTGCCCGCAAGTGCCCACAAGCACCTCTTATGTCCTTACTGCCTCAACCTACCTATTTTCCTACCTTACCTCCTATTTGCAGGCGTGGTCGACTTGGCCGGATGCTGTTACAACACGATCCTCTCATGGCGGAGCTCATTTTCTCCTTGATGGAGTACGACCCAGCTAAACGCCCCTCTGCTCAGCAGGTGAGCTTCGTCTCGCGATTTCATTCTCTTTTTCCTGCATGTGCACACCAACGACTTGAACACCTGCACTCAAAACCATACGGAATTTGACCATCCGTTTTCTAATGTATGTTTTTCGTATTCCCCCCTCTCCCTGTCCAGGCGCTACTGCATCCTTTCATCCAGACCTCCCAGAACGCGCAACCCTCTGCCCCTCCGCCCATCCCCTCCTCACCCGCCCCCTCCGCCTCCGTCCCCGCCTCCCCCGCCCTTCCCCCGCTCCCTGCCTTCACCGCACCCCGCACCGCACCTCCAATCAAACCCGAGCCTGTCTTCGAGCGCTCTGCCTCCTACCCTCTCACGTCAGGCTCGGCAGGAGGCTCGGCAGCAACCGGACCTGAGCCAATGGCTCTGGATTCCAGGCCTGTGCCTGTATTCTCCCTTGGAAACGGTCTCCCAGCCACCGGTCCGTTCCAGCAGCAGCAGCAGCAGCCGCCGCAACAGCAGCCGCAACAGCAGCAGGAGCAGCAAGAGCAGAACCAGGAGCAGAGCCAACAAAACGGAAACAAAAGAGGGAATCGGACCCCTGGTGCCGCCGCTTCTGGCGCTACTGCTGCTGCTGCTGTGGCGTCTCCGGCAGCGGCGGCGGGTGGTAAACCACCAGCGAACCGAAGGGCTGTGGCTCGGAGCAAATCTGCCTCCACAGCAACTCCTTCGGGCAGAAACGCTGCTAGAGCTGCTACAGCCGCGGCTAAGGCTGCTGCTCTTGCTGCCGCTGCGAGTGCCAAGGCCTCCACTAATAACCCTACGGCAGCAACGACTGCTGCGGCTTCTACTGTTGCTGGTGCCGCAGACGCTACAGTCGCTGCTACAACAGTGACTGCCACTGTCATTCCAGGACCCAGCGACAGTGCTACTCCCTCAAGTCAACCCGGTCAACCTGGTCAAGCCAGTCAAGCCGGTCAACCAGGTCAATCTGGTCAACCCGGTCAACCCAGTCAACCTGGTCAATCTGGCGCTGCTGCTTCGGACTCGAAGAATCCTGGCGACGCGCTTCACCTGAAGCAGCTGTCCCAAAACTCCCTGTTTTCCCGCGCGGCCTCGTTCCTGCAATCCTTTAAGGTGGCGCTTCCATCTCCTGCTGCCGCTGGTCCTTCTCCGGGGAATGGGAATGCGGCGGGTGGGAGTGTGGGGGGTGGAAACGGGGGAAGTGGGAATGTGGTGGCAGGAAGAGAGGCTGTGGGAGGCGGAGGGGTGTTGGGTGGGGTTGGCGCAGGGGGAAGCGCTGGGGCCGGGGCAGGGGGAAGCGCTGGGGCCGGGGCAGGGGGGGCAGGGGGAGCGGTTCAGGGGGCGAGTCAGCAGCAGCAGCAATTGCAACAGCAGCTGTTACAGCAGCAGCAGCATTATCATTATCAGCAGCAGCAGCAGCAGCAGAACCAACAACAGAACCAACAGCAGCACCAACAGCAGCAGCAGCAATTGCAGCAAGCATACGTCTCAACACCATCCTCTGTAACCACCACTAGCAGCAGCAACCCCCCTCACCGTATCACCCAACTCCCCTCCCTCACCCCCCTCCCCAACCCCGCCCTTCCCCTCCCCGCTCCGCGCGGCCCCCCCGCCACCCTCCCCCCTGCATCTGCGCCCTCCCCTTCTTACCCCCCCTCCCACCCCCCACAAACCCCCGCTCTCCGCCCCTACCCTTCCACACCTTACACTCACCCCCAAACCCATCCCAACCACCTCACCACCCCTGCCGCCACGCCCGTTACAAGCACACCCGCGTCTCTCCCTCCTCCGGTCTGCCCCTCCCCGTGCATTCTCCCTGCCGCCGCTGCTTCCTTCCCAAACCCCCAGCAGCAGCAGCCCTCCCGGTCCCTCTCTCTCTCTGCTGTTGCAAGCCCTGCAAACGCAACCACGGGGAAGGAGCAAGGACAGTTTTACAGAGGCACGAGCAACTATGGAAGCATGATGCAGCAAGCGCCACAAGAAGGGGGAAGCCAAGGGGGAGGCCAAGGGGGAGGCCAAGGGGGAGGCCAAGGGGGAAGCCAAGGGGGAGGCCAAAGGGGAGGCCAAGGGGGAAGCCAAGGGGGAGGGCAAGGGGGAGGGCAAGGAAGGACCCTCAGCTCGTCCGCCTCTGCACCTGCGCACGGGTCAATGCTACTTTCAGCCGCTGCCTCTGCTGCTGCTGCTGCTGCGGCTGCTGCTGCTGCTGCGGCTGCTGCTGCTGACGTTTCTTCTGGTGCCAATATCGGATGTGCTAATAACGGAGATGGAGGTGGAGCAAGCAGTGGTGCTGCTGCTGCTCTCCCCGTCGGCATAGCCACTCCGTCTTATGTCACACCCGCTGCAGCCACACCAGCTGCCGCTCAAACGCCCACCACTCCTGCTCCCACGCTTCAACACTTCATGGGCCCTCCCTCTGCTGCTTCTTCTCCTGCAGTTGCGGCTGCTGCTGGTGGCGCTGGTGGTGGTTGTGGTAATAGTGCTTCTTCTCCTGCTGCATACGCTGCACCAAATGCTGGTGTGAATGGTGGCGCTGGTAACAACATGAGCCGATTCGGCCTTCAGGTGCAAGCGCAGGCGCATTGTGGTAACCCGCAGCAGCAGCAGCCGCAGCAGCAGTATCACCAGCAACAGGAGCACCAGCATCATCACCAGCACCAGCATCAGTGCCCGTTGCATGGTTCCATGCCTCACGCTCACACTCACACTCCTTCATACACTCCCTCACACTCGCAATCTCTACCCCATCCTCCCTCCCACACTCCAAACCAGCAGCAGCAGGTGGGCGGTGTTGCTCGTCCGCACATGCCGCCTCACCTTACCCACTCCCAGTCGTTCCCTACCTCTCACCCGTCTTCCCATCCTTCCTCTTATCCTTCACCTCACTCTCATTCCCGAGGGCGGCTCTCCCCTCACGTTCAACACACCTCTTCTCCTGCCTCTTCCGTTTCTCAGCACCAAAACTATCAACAGCAGCAGCAGCAGCAGCAGCAGCAGCAGCAGCAGCAGCAGCAGCAGCAGCAGCAGCAGCAGCAGCAGCAGCAGCAGCAGCAGCAGCAGCAGCAGCAGCAGCAGCAGCAGCAGCCGCAACAGCAACAGCAACAGCAACAGCCGCAACAGCAACAGCAGCAGCAGCAGCAGCAGCAGCAGCAGCAGCAGCAGCAGCAGCAGCAGCAGCAGCAGCAGCAGCAGCAGCAGCAACAACAGCAATACCAGCAGCAGCAATACCAGCAACAGCAACTGCAGCAGCAACAGCAGCAGCAGCAGCAGCAACAGCAACAGCAGCAGCAGCAGCAGCAACAGCAATACCAGCAGCAGCAATACCAGCAGCAGCAACAACAGCAATACCAGCAGCAACAGCAGCAGCAGCAGCAGCATCAACAGCAACAGCAGCAGCAACAGCAACAGCAGCAGCAGCAGCAGCAGCAGCAGCAGCAGCAGCAGCAGCAGCAGCAGCAGCAGCAGCAGCAGCAGCAGCAGCAGCAGCAGCAGCAGCAGCAGCAGCAGCAGCAGCAGCAGCAGCAGCAGCAGCAGCAGCAGCAGCAGCAGCAGCAGCAGCAGCAGCAGCAGCAGCAGCAGCAGCAGCAGCAGCAGCAGCATCAGCAACAGCAACACCATCACCAGCAGTATTACCACCAGCAGCAGCAGCAGCAGCAGCAGCAGCCGTTGGCCTCTCACCCTTCCTCCTGTCAGGCTCCTGCCAGTCCCGTCAGCAGCGCCTCTACTGCTTTCCGCCCCGCACCCTCTCCCGCCCTCCGCCCTGCCCCTGCCCCTGATTACGCCTCGCCCCCTGCTGCTGGTACTCGTGCCTCTCCTGCTCCTGCTGTCGCTGCCGTCTTGGCGCTCTCTGGTTATCAGCAGCAGCAGCAGCAGCAGCAGCAGCAGCAGCAGCAGCAGCAGCAGCAGCAGCAGCAGCAGCAGCAGCAGCAGCAGCAGCAGCAGCAGCAGCAGCAGCAGCAGCAGCAGCAGCAGCAGCAGCAGCAGCAGCAGCAGCAGCAGCAGCAGCAGCAGCAGCAGCAGCAGCAACAGACGCAGCAGACGCAGCAGACGCAGCAGCTGCATATGCAGCCACAGCAGCAGCAGCAGTATGACCAGCAATACCAGCAGTCGCAGCAGCAACAGCAGCAGCACAATCAATACCAGCAGAAACAGCACAATCAGTCTGCTACCGAACCTGGTTCCGCTTCCCAAAACTACCAGACTCCCTACTACCAAACCTCTGTCGCAGGTCAGGTACCTGCCACGCCTTCCTGCTCCGGTTTCACTGCGCCCACTTCTGCCGAACCTGCAGGTTCGATGGGTGCTCCTCCCATACCTGTTGCTACAGGTGCTGCTACAGCTGTTCCTACTGGTATGGGTGCGGGGAGAGGTACTTATTGGGGTGATTCTCCCGCCAACACTTACATAAGTGCTGCTCCCAGTGTGTCTGCACTTAGCGGTGGTCCTTCCATCCGGTTACTCTCCATCCCCACCGCATCTCCTGCCACGTCATCCATGTCTGCAGGGCCTGCCACGTCAACTGGCCGCGCTGTGTCAGCAGCACCTGCCACGTCAGCGGGTGGCGCTCGGTCCCCGCAAAGGGGCGCGGTGTCGTCTGGCTCGGCTGGCATGCTGAGGCTGCCAGGTGGCATGCCACATCAGCAGCAGCAGCAGCAGCAGTATTCGGAGGGGCATTCATGCATGCAGCAGCAGGTGCGGCACCAGCAGCAGCAGGGGCAGCAGCAGATCAGCATGCCTGTTGGCATTGCCAGGCCTTCAGTCTCAGCCAGCCGACCTCTGCAAACACAGCAGTGTCAAATGCACCAACCGCAGCAACAGCAGCAGTCACAGCAGCAGTTTCAGCTGCAAACGCAGCAGCAGCAGTATCAGCAACAGTGGCAGCAGCAGCTGCAGCAACCAGTGCAGCAGCAGCAGGCGGGGCAATTCACACCAGTGGCTGTAGACTCGAACGCTTACCAGATGCTCCCAGTCTCTTCCTTCACCCTCCCTCCTTCCCAACCGTCTGGTCCAGCCCCTTCTGGTCTTGCGCCGTCACCTACAGTTGGAGTGGCAGGAGAAGGAAGGGAAGAGGCAGGGACGAACCCTAGCGTACAGCAGCAGCAGCAGCAGTTTCAACTGCAGCAATCGCCGCAACAGCAGCAGCAGCAGCAGCAGCAGCAGCCAGAGGCGTTCTATTCAAGCTACAACCCCACCAGCAGCTACGTTAGCAGCTACAATCGAAGCTTGGCTCTTTCCAATACCAACACTCTCACCCCTCCTGGTCCAGTAGGGAGCTTGGGTCTGGGCGTTGGGTCCGGTAGTGCTGGTTACAGGGATAGCCACAATGAGAGTAACAGTGGGGGGAACACTACCGCTTCGGTTCACGACTCTTATGCTGCTGGTGCTGCTGCTGCTTCTGGTGCAGCTGGCGCTGCTGCTGGTGGTATTGTTGGGGCAGGAGATAAGGGTTTTGGGGTTGGAGAAGCAGCAGAGGCTATGGAGAGGGGAGCAGGGGAAGACAGGAGTTACTCTTTCCCTAGTAGTGGTGTGGTGGCGCCTGCTGACCCTGCTGCTCTGTTTGCTGCTCCCCTGCAGCAACAGCAGCAGCAGCAGCAGCAGCAGCAACTGCAGTGGCAGCAACCGCAGCAGCAGTCAATGCACCCATTGCCTTACAGTGCAACAGCAGGGGCATATGAAACGGAGGCCACAGCAGGAGCAGGAGCGGCAGGAACAGCAGCCGGAGGAGCAGGAGTAGCAGCAGCAGTGTGCACACCCAAGTCCCGGACACTCAACGTTGATCTCACAGATCTCCTTGAGATGGACGGTGGGGATGAACTGGGGGAGCGAACCGAGGCAGCGAGAGCCGTTGATGGGATAGAGGATGAGATCCTAGGTGGACCGTTCAAGAAGCCACGACTTTGGGATGAGAGGGAGGAGATGGTGGGGGGGATAGCAGGTGTTTCAGCTTCTTCCCCTTTCTCTTGCTTCGGTCGCCTGTCCCCGTTGTCACTCACAGAGGAGAGAGCGGAGAGCGGCGGGGAGGGGGGTGATGGGACGGAGATGGTTGGGGAGCCGGGGAACCGGGGGGGAGGTATCATGGGATTTGATATGAAGGGGGCCTCGTGGGACTTTCTGGACGGGTGTTTGGATTTCATTTAAGGGACCTTTGAGGCGCCTCTAAAGATTCCATTTTGAGGGAGAATGCGAGGGGCAGCAGTAGCAGGAGGGGGGGAAAGCTGTGGAGGCGGGGGGTGGGCCTGCTGAGTGCAAGATCTTACCTTGTTTGTATCCTAGCGACAGTTTATTCGACACTCAATTGTGTCTACTATGGGGTGTTTTAGTGTGTATGGATTTGGGGTGAGGGAATAGGTGTTGGGACTGGGAGGGAACAGAGGGGGTGAAGAGGGGAGTGGGGCGAGTGGAAAAGAGAAGGAGCACTGCGGTGCTCCTAGCCTTGTGCTGCCAGTGCAACCAGCTATGGATAGCGCTTCTCAAGTTATGATGGCAATTCACAACCAAGTCGACGAAGGAGGGGAACCGGAGAGGGCGGAGGAGCGGGAGGAGGGGGGTTGCTATCAGCAGCTGCTTCCCAACGTGGAGTGGCTTGAAAGATAGATGACGATCAAACTCAAATTCTGCGTGAAGACTTGTGAAGAGGAGAGCTCAACTGTCGGGCATTGACTCGGCAATGTCAATTTCCTGCTTTTCTTTCATTTTCGTTTCTTTTCTTTGAATTGTCAGGGAATAAGCTGCCCTTCATAGTAGGGCCAGTTTTATCTATGCAGTGAGCTATGAAGGCTCCTGTTGCTAAAATACTGTTGCTAGTTGCGTTGTTTCTTATTTGTACTCTGTTTCCATCCATATGCTTCTGTTATCCAATGGTTTAAATGTAAACCATTCTGCAATTCTGGTCCTTGTGTTAGCATAAACAAATCTGAGGAAGGAATGACAGTCAGACATTGTTGAATGAAAGGGGTCTCCTCGTGTAACAGGCTTGTTTTTATTTTTTTTACGCAGGTAGTACACAGGTCATCTTTACAATGGTCAATATGTATTGCATCAACAATCAGCAACAAGGTACACTACACACCCGTAATAAGCCTAAACGAGTCAACAGCAGCAGCAGTGTCACACCCTTTTGCTGATTCTTGGGCGATGTTCGGCAGCGAGGGGAGGGGGTTTGATGGAGGATCAAAATGGCGGGCATCCAGGCTCGACCAGTACGAACCAGGCAAAACACTTCTGTCAGGCTAGAAAAATGTGAAAAAAAAAAAAAAAAAAAAATCGATCGTAAGCCTAAATCGCGATGCGAACACCAAGCTAGGTGGTAACCTGCGCCGCATCCTCCCCCAAAACCTCCCCCATGGCGGAAAAAATCCGCCCTAGTGCCCAGGAGATCTAGAAAGTTCATACGCGCCCTGTCGGAAAAACACGGGCGACTGCACGCGGGAGCGAGCTGCCCGCGGGCAAAAAAAAACTAAAACCCACTCGGAAGGCACGCGGCTTGGGAGCATCAACCCTAAAATTTTAGGGTTGAGGCTCCCGAATGGCATGCAGGTCGCGATGGGGAATAGTTTTTTTTTTCCCCGGGCAGAAAGCTTCCGCCGGCTCCGCGTCCTGGTGGATTCGAAACCCACCAGGAGAGGGACCTGGTGGATTTGCGCCCACCAGGGCTCGGATGAACCAAATTGCACTCCCGTGAGTGGCCTCACCCACGGGGGATGTAATGGATTCCCTCAACCACGAAATTGTTCTATGATTGTACCCCACACTCTAAACTGACGGGTAAACCGGACATCGGAAATGTATTGCAACACAGTTGTATTCAATAAGGTCAAATGGGTGAGTACCAGGGCTAATTGTTGGTTTTGAGCAACCCTTATGATCAGTGCTGTACCTAAGCAAAAACCTGATTATCAGTGTGACCCGGTAGGAAATTTCTTTTGCATCAGGGTTCAGGCTAGGTTTGAAATTTTTACCCTGAGGCATCAGTGTAAGACTTGTAAAAACCCTGCTCAGTTATTGTTACAATGAGTTTAGTCCGAGTTGAGTCCTTGGCGTTGTGTAGAGCGAAACTGTATTTCTGGCCAATAGTGGCCCACTTCGTGCCAACACATGTACGCAAATTCAGGTTTTGACAGTTGGCCAACGGGAATCCCTAGTTACGGGAAAATGGGGGGAGGTCCGGGGGGGGGGGGGGGGGTGGTACGGTACTAGCTTCAGGGTAAAACTCGCTAAGAAGAACGGTTCCCCTGGTGCATCAGTGTGCCTTAAACGTATACCCTGGCTGATCAGGAAAATCACAGCTCCAAAAAAAATTACCCTGAGGCATCAGTGTGACTACCAAAAACCACCCTGATAATCAGGGTATCAGGGTGATTTATGTCAGAATGTTATGCTCTAGCTGTGAATAGTTTCTAGCAAGGCCTAGGAGCCATGGCTAGTTAGATCGAGAGAGTTGAGTTCGAGAAAGTTGAAAAGGAGAATGAGTGGTTTCACTATAGGTTCAAGGGTACAAATATGAGAGAACAAGCAAGAAAGGTGCACCACCAAATAGGAAAACGCTATAACTACAGTAACCAATCCTACAGGCAGTTACATATAGAAAATATTAAATTATATTTTCCGACACGCCCCCATAACTGGCTGTAGGAGATGAGTATGCAGTTAGCGCCCTCTGAAGGGGTACATCACGATTGTGCAGGAGGAGAAAAGTGTTTCAATAATACCACTCCCCTGGTCCTCCACACCCTCACACCCTCCCACCCTCCCCCTCCCCCTCCCCCACACACTGCTG